TCGTACTGACATTTTCGATTTTTATAATCTCCTGACGATAGGTACAATTACAACAAAAGAACAACCAAACCAAACATATTATATGCATAAAAAAATTATTCTAAAAAGTATATTTTGATAATGCAATTAGTTTAGTGCAATATTTTACCTCCTTTAATTTCTAAAGTTCTTTAATTAAAACTTTTCTTTAATCATTCGATAATTAAGTAATTTAATCACTCTCAATAAAATTGCAGTTTTTAAAGAGCAAAAATTTTAATCCTAGAAAGTACCATTTAAAATATTATTATTATTGATAAGTCTGGGCCCACTTATGATGCTAACATTTTGTATGTGGCCATTAACCTAAATACGTATTATTATTATTAATATATATATATATATATTGATCGTATTTGATATTAAGAGTTTTAAAGCAGGGACTCAATTATAAAATACTAAAATTTTGTCGTAGATCTGATGAACAAAGGTATATTTACTTTTTAAATATCACGTAATAAAATATTTTGTTTCTTGAGTTTTGTAAGAAAAGTCTCTAAAGTGGCGGAAAACAAAGACTATTTAGAAGACTGTTTTGTAAAAAAATGTTTTTGAAAGGAATATTTTTCAGCGCAGAATTAATTTTATTCATGAAATTTTCTCATCTGTATTCAATTTAGTAGACATTTAAAAAATAATTTGCTTTAGTGGCTAGGTAAAGTTGCTTTTATATTTAATGATGCCGTTATTATTGAGTCTTAGAATTTTAATAGAAATGACTACTACAAATATACTCTATATAGAACTGAGAACGTTAGTTGTTGCGTTATACTCGCGTCGGATATTTTACCGGTGCCGACACACTGTATGTTACGCTAGTGTAAAGCTTACAATTGTCATTATACGTATTTAGTACTGGAGATTACCGACCGTAGCGATATGTTCGTGATTAATACTTTTAATTTTTTATGTATTAATATTATTTATAGATACTGAGACTGAGTTTAAACATGTAACATATTAGGAATCCATTTATATTAAAACAAAAACTATAAGTAACATACTCCATATGTATTACATGCTAGTCAGACTCAGATCAACTAAGCAGTTTTAATTTTATTATTTACCAATACCTTGAAAGCAGGTCGGATTGTCCACTTGATGAGACTACTTGATGATGCTTATTTTAAGCCTTTTAATATCTAATTAAAAACCGTTAGAAAATTGGAAAGCTGTATGTAAAATTGTTACGCGGTCGTCATGCTTCGCGTAACCCCTCATTTTATTATTGTAATTAAACCGGATTTGACATATAATATAACATTAAAAACAAGCTAAAAGATTAAATACATATGTATATCCAACGCTGTGAATTAGAACTGAAAGTACAAGGAAAAGATTACTGACTATTACATATTATTTTATATAGTGTGGATAATGTATTGCAATTTTATACCGTGCACATTCTATAGCGCTTGAATTTCTAAAGAATATAAGTATTTTTAAGTAAAGCACCTATCGCGAAACGCGAACAAAGCGAGTTGAAAGCAGGTGCCGCGTCCGGGTGACCTAAAATGCAGGTGCCAGCTTATGTCACTTATGAAGAGTGGTTCAAGGCAACGATGGAGGCAGTAGTGGCGAATTATACCAAGCGCTGACTCATAAATTGTTAACATATTATTTATTAAATTAAACAATATTAAATTTAATGAAACTTACAAAGAGGAATACAATAAACAAACCATTGAATTTATACGAAATTAGTGTCTGTCATATAATCGTTTAATTTGTTAAAGCGTTTTATGAGGTGTCAAATCACACTTTTAAATACTTACTTTAAAGCCAACGTGTACATAATGTACCTATACATGTAATAAAATTCTAACTGAGTGGAATCTATATACATTAAATATTTTTTGGACAATCTTATTGAAATATTCATTATTATAGATAAAGAGGCCGAATTTATAGTTTTTGGAATATTTGTCTGTATGTCTATCTAGGAACGCGTCACGAGAAAACCACTGGACAGATATTGATGGGTATGATGATAGTTCGTTATCCGGGTCCACATATAGTATACTTTTTACTGTGGAAAAATATATCATTTTTGAGAATGAACTCGAGCGGTGCGAGGGTGAGTCGCCTGTTATTATTATATACGTATTTATTTTATTTACGTTTACGGTACGTTCGGAATTGGGCGATATGTTTCATTGATATTCTTTTATATTAAAAGTAATATAATTTAATAAAAAGGTAATTATAAATTATGTTATTTTAAATGTGTATTAACAATTTACATCTAGGAATAAATTGGTAACAATTATAACTCTCTCGTCTTCACCGCCTTCTCTTATAATTTAAACGTAGTAGGTAGAGTTGAATTTCAACTAACGAATGTACGTCAATTGACGAAGTTCGCGTAACGTTAAAATATGGGACTTGTTTAGTTTGACTTATAATTAAGTTTAACAGAGAGTATACCTTTTATCTTTAGTATTCTATTTCCGCAAAGATTCTTAGTTATATAGCTACCTTTTTACCCCTTGGGAATATAAATAATTTATGAAGTTACTCAACAGATAGAACCTTCAGCGCTTTTAAGATATACTAACGGCTCACGCTTGGTTCGCTCGGGTTCGCTTCTAGGAAATCGTTGTTCTAAGCTGTATAAGTTACTTGTTTTTTTAACTATCCCACGGGAACTCTTTAATTTCCCGGGATGAAAAGTATCTAAAATGTTGATCGGGGATATAAGGTACCACCGTGCAAAATTGCATTTAAAACGGTCCAACAGTTTCGGAGATTAGCCCGTACAAACAGACAAACAGACAGAGAAACAAAAAAATTGGAAAAAACTGGATTTGTTCTATTAATTCTCTTCTTACATCCCCCTGACTCGGTTTTTAGTAATTTTTTTCTATGTATAGACATTCAACCTCTACAGTTTTATTATATGTATAGATTTGTATGTTTTAGTGATTTTATTAGCATTACATTTGAAATAAGTTTATTCTATACCTTTACTTTTTGTATATTTGTGTTGATAAATAAAATATACCTGCTATATATTAAGCAAAAATTTATATCTAATATTCAAACGTCAAACATGTCCTATTGTTTACATTGTTACGATATGGCCTTGTACTTATGGCCATCTGTATATACGCATTACGTAATTCTCATAATGCAGTTTGTCATTTCCATGCGAATTAATACCTAGTCATATGCAAATGACAAGTCGTTATTGGATATAATTTGTTCGGCAGCCCGTGACATGATATCTCCGAATATTTGCTGTACGAACGAATATCAAACGTTTGATATGCTTTATATTTTGTACGTGCATCTTTAAGATGGTAAATATTTGACGACAGGTTTGTCTCAGTTTTTAGTGATCCTACTTGCTGTGCCAGCGGTCGCGGGTTCGAGTCCCGTTGGGGGCATTCATTTGTGTGATGAGCACGAATGTATGTACTCCAGTCGTGGGTGCTTATACTTATAATCTGTATGTATTTAAAGTTATATATATGTAGTGTATCTCACCACAACAAGTCTCGTAGCTCACCACGGAACTAGATGGCGCTGTCTGTTGATGTCCCAACATATTTTCACCAAATTTGAATGGGTCTTTTTTCTGAACGGTTTTCAATCTCCTTTCTATAATATTTGTTAAAAAAACCTAATGTAAACAAATTCTAGTAGGTAATAAGTGGTCATTGCCCCTTTACTGATAAAAACATTCCCATGACAGATCTTTACCGATCTGGCCGCCTGCCAACTTTTAGTGGTGTCTCAACTGTGACTTTGAGATAAGACGCTGCATTTACGAACCGTAGTATCTTAAGATGCTACCTAAATGTTTGCTTTAAGTTCAAAAGACTCTTGTCGGCTTAAAAATATTAGGTTTATCGATTTTTCTATCGATACTTCAAAAGACGATAAAATTTCATTCATACGAGTTTTCTATGTTGTACTCAATTTTTAAATATTTGTATCTAAATTATTTGAAGTATTAAAGATGAAATTTTAAGTACATCGAAGAGAAAGAATTTTTAAATTGATGAAATATTCAGTTTTTTGTAAGAAGGAATCAGTTTCAGCAAAGAACCTAGTGTATGCGATAGTCGTCTTTGTTATAATATCGAAGAATAATGTAAGGTTTCGTACCGCCATCGTAAAATGTCAACGCTTTTAAATTTTTATCCTTGATTTATGGAGAAAATTTCCCATTAAGTAACAATAGCACCTATGAAAGCTGGATGCTATTGATTTCGGTTAATCTTTCTTTAAACCTTAACAATACTAATAAAATAAGAAGTGAATATAAGAGTAAAATAAAAAATGCTGTGCGATGAAATAATATCTTAATCAATTTTATAATTAGAAACTGTCAAAGTATTTACTCAAAAAAAAAATCGTTTTGTCATAATATTTGTTTGATATAATTGGATTGTGCTTCCAATGTTACGTCAACAAGCTATCGTAATCAACGTAGCAGTGGAACAATTACATCAGATCGTTGTTTTCATCGCTTTTCTCATAATTTAAATTTTAAGTTTAGCTTTATATTTTAATATTTCCCGGGCTCATATCTTTAGTCTACAGCCGTGTTATTATTTTTATGTACGTTAATTGAAGCGGAAAATGTATGGAGTTTGGTGGCGCTGTACACTACATTTTCATACTGAGCACTTTTCTTAATGCGCTTCGCTACTCTCGTCTCGAGTTTCATGAGAGCCTTAGTGTTGGATTAAGCTTGTTATACTCGACTAACTACGCCTTAAGGAAGAAACTTATAACTTTATACTTAACTAATTTATATCTAATTAAATGCTTAGCTATAAAAAAGTGTTTATCTGATTATTATACTCGTGTACTATTTTTGTGTTATTCAAAATACACATGGAATGTGTCAATTTGCGTGTTTACAGGTTAATGTCTGTCTGTATATGTATCGTTAGTTGAATCTATATGTGTAAATATATTTTTTATATAATTAATTGCTGTTTCTATAGGTTCAGGAAAGTCCTACACGATGATGGGCGCGCCCGGGCCAAACGAAGGTGGTATTATTCCTCGCCTCTGCGATGCGCTGTTTGAGAGGATTGCCGTTCAACAATCACCACCTGCACTCACATACAAGGTAATTATTAAATCTTTTATACCTTATGATATTTTATTATAACAAATTATTTATTTTTTTATTTATTGGTAATATAAATGTGGTCTAGAAAATATTTTTTCTCAATTGAAAGTTGTAGAAAAAGTACAACGCAATAGTAGTGTAAAAGCTGGTAAATTCATTGGAAGGAATCATACCTTTGTAAAATTGGTTCGTTAGTCGCGCTTTAGTAGTCTTTTTTACTTAGAATCTGATGACCTATTTAATATTCAAATGCATGTAAGTCGTCTCACAAGCTTTTCTTTTACCTGCGAGCATTTATCATTTACTTTACTTTCAAATATAACGTTTCCATTTATTTCAACAGTGTTTTTGTGCACTTATTACTTACATTCACGTATGAACTCCTTTTCCGGTTTGTATTTCTTTTTATTCTACCTTTTAAATATTTTATCTATTATAGTTATAGACAAACTGTTATGGATATAATTTTATTACATTTATACAATATTTGTTTTATAAATTTAATTTGTAATTGTAATTAATTAATTATTTAAAAAATTACATTAAGTCAAAATTGGAATTATTGTATACTATTTAATACTAATGTGATAGCCTGTAAAAGCAGCAAGTTCTAACTACCTATAACTAAAAGTGCAATTATCATGATAAATCATATGTAACCTAGGTTTAAGTATTATAATATTGTATGTTGGTAGTTTAATAAATAAATAAAAATTTATCTATCAAAATATATTACATTTCAACACACACACACACACACACACATCAATATAAAGTGACACAAATTGGTTTGTTCAGGTGGAGGTGTCATATATGGAGATATACAACGAGCGTGTCCATGATTTACTAGATCCGGAGACCACGCGGCGATCGTTACGCGTACGCGAGCATGTGGTCCTGGGTCCCTATGTGGACGGGCTGTCACAACTTGCAGTTACGTCCTTTCAGGTAATAATATGTACAACTGTTGTTTTTGCGACAATTTGCATATAAAAAGGTTTCTTATATATGTTTCTTATATATCAATCATCGTTAATCATAATTAATCACTTTGATAAAATTAGTTATTTTATGAAGTAATAATTATACATCTCTAGCAATAAAAAACTTCTATAAACAATATAGATTTTCTATTCGAATTTGGTTTTTTTTTCAAATAAAATTCAACATAACGCCGACAAGTTAACGGTATCCTTTCGAATTTATTCCTGGCAGCTATTACGTAGGCCATGGTAATCTTACATCTTGTTTGATGAAAGGTCACGAAGTTTGTGAGACCTCGATAACAATCCTTTGTCGTTCGTTAGGCTGCTGGCTAACCTTATGAATTAAAATTGCAACTATTAAGAGTAAGTAGTACATACGAAAAATTTTGTATTATGTCATACAATTTATATATTAATGAATAATTTAATTTTGCTCTTCGATTCCTTTCCTGGATCAAAACGAAACATTTTTCTTAACACTGTTTTATCTTAAAGATAAGTTGAATTTTATACTCAGTTCAAGATCAAAAAAATTGTTTAGGAGCTTAAGAAAAATGACAAATATCCTTAAAAGATGGCACAAATTTGTTTAAGAGAATTTTTAAGCCAAATTAAGCGTCATACTCATTTTAAAGGCAAAAAACGGTTGTTTTATTTGAGTAATATCCACTGGGAAGTGGATGCTAAATAAATATTGTTTCGCAGCATCAAAAATTGGACCGTAGATGAAATCGTCGGTTTCTCGCAGATTGGCCGTTCCGACAGCTTCATTACGCTTAGTTGAAGCTCGAGGGTTTAACGGTATCCATTATTTCTCTCGATTCGCTTTGAACACCCTTCAGTCTAGCTGTTTTACTTTGAAAATGTTTAATTTCGCCTTTGTAAGCAATTCGAACTAACTAGTCGGTTTTTGTTTTATACGCTCTGTTATCTTTCATTTAATTTAATCGGATCGAATCGGATCGTTTGCTGTTTGTATTACTTAATAATTTTAAATTAATATAGCCTGGCCTGAGGAATATATTATCTTCTAACTTTAGACTACGGCACAGCTCGTATAGCTTATTTGTTTGTAAAATTGTTCTGATATTCAATAGAATATCAGCGTATATGGCTCGTCGCGTGATGTCAGATTATGTTAAGAAAAGGTAAAAAAGTAGGTACTAAAAGGATTTCACAAATCGTATCGAATAGTAACGGACATTAGCATGTTTAAAGAAAAACAAAAAAAAAAACTTTCTTCTCTTTTGAATTCTTATTATGATTAATTATTATTATATAAATTCAGCAGAAAAATTATAAAAGCTTTCATGAATAAAACAGGCTTATGTCTTAATTTTCATAAATTATATTACAAGAGATAATTATTCTCAATACAGTGTATTTACATCGTTGCAGTTGGTTTAATTCGGCGATTCCGACGCTTTGTCTCCTTCAATTATACCCGGTTCAGTCTTCTCAAGGCGTACGTTCGCTCAGCATCAGGTGTTTAGCTCTAATAATTATTTTAATCAAATTCTGTGAATCTCTGTGGATAGTCAGCCTGTAGAAATCTTGAACATTTAAGCTAATATTTATAATGACAAAAATATTAATTTAAATTATAATTGTTATAGCCAAATCAATTATACTAAAAATCTACCTAGTTGGTTCTTTTACCCAGTTTGAATTGAAGGTGAAGCACTGTAGGTAATAATTGTTTCTGGGTCTATATAAAATAAAAGACTAAAGGAGAGAGGCTAAGACGCTTTCTCAACTACAAAATCCAATTAGCTAATATAAGTAAGATGTAGCGAATTTATCACTTTGTCTATACAGTTTATTTATTATGCATAATATTTAACAACTATGTACGAGTTGTTCACTAGCGTCCCTAGGTACGTTCAAAATATTTATTTAAATAGTTATTAGCCAGCCATATAAGGGTTAGCCACGTAAAGTTTATAATTTTTTTCTCGTGAATTTTTTGATGTTCTAATAATAATTCTGCTATTCGGGGCGAAGACAAATCCAACAAATCAAAAATGATACAAATTGGTCCAGTCGTTCTTGTTATAAATGGTGTAATTAACCTGACTTTGTTTTATATATATATAAGACTAGCGGTTCACCCTCGCTTCGCTCGGTTTTTTCCGATTCCCCATACAAACGTTCATCCCCATTTTCACCCTCTTAAGGGAAGGGATGATTTCCGGGATAAAAAGTATCCTATGTCCTATCCAGCGTTTCCAACTATCTTCTTACCAAATTTCATCTAAATCGGTTCGGTATATCCAGAGATTACCCCCTACAACGTCACAAACTCACAAACATTACCTCTTTATAATATTATATATATAATAGATAATCATTAATTAAATACATTATTTGTAACATATACATAGGTTTATGATATTACTACAAACCTGAAATTCGGTCTATGCTGTAATATGGTTTTTGACTGCATCGTTATTAGACAATGAAACATGATTGAATCCTTTGGCTGATAGCATCCGTAAAATATTGCTAATTATATAATTTCGAGTTGGAATTTAACAAATTCATTTATAATTTATAAGAATATATTCTGGTTTAAAAATCCTTATATATCGTATTCGTACGTTAATTGCCTTTAATAATGCTATTGCGGTAACCTATTTCAATTCATGAGGGCAGTTATTTCTGATTTAAGTGGAACAATCTTTTTTCGTATATTTTTGTATTTTAAGTCTTTGATTAATTTCAATGATTTTCTCATATTTCAATAATTTTACTATTGAATTGTAGTGTTACGTAATAAAATAGTATCATGATTACAAAATCTGTAAAGTAACACCTAGGTACTTTTTCTATTAAAGATGTATGTAAATAAAACATAGTTATATTTTAAAACTGTCAAAAAAGACAAAGATGAAAATAAAAATTAAATAAATAATTAGATACAAACAAATATTATCATTAATTGTAACTAATTTATCCGCCGGATTCGATTGATGAGAATCAACATGAACATTGATTGGCAGTTTAAAATGTTTCCATGCTATATTCGATGTTTATTCAGTTGGAAATTAAATAAATGAGCCCATTGAGACTATTCCGTCATAGATTGCCAAATTGTGTCCATTGCAATATTTCTCGAAAATCAGGTGAATTTTGTGACCAACAACGAAAATGCAATTGTTACATTCGTAACAAACCGCACACAAACGAAAGGAAGTGATATAATAATAAGCTTACATAATACACACCTTACAGACCAAAAGCATTTGAATAATATAACGGTTTTCTTTAAATATAGGTTACAGAGGATAAGAAGAAATACTTTTATTATAGAAAAAAAACATGACATAGGAAAAGTAAAAAAATATCTTTCATACCGACAGTATTTACCTACTACAATTCGTTTGTTGTCATGTCACGTAGGTGTTGACATTCGCTATTGTGAAATGGACTGATAAATTTTGCCGGAAAAAATATGTGATTTTATTACTCGATATTTTCTTATCTTGGTAAAGTGTCACATCCTACATATATACCATCGTTTATTTTATTAAAGTTATATATATTTTACACCCTATGATTGAGATTTTGCTTCAGTAATAGACGTATAGCACTCTAAGAACGTTACCTTACATACATACATATTACATACTTATGAGATATAGTATGATTTAAGAATATTCTTCTTTGTATCGTACTATATGTGTACGTTGGTAAAATTTTCTATATAAAATAATAAATGTTTGCATATTATGTTGGTATAGCGCTTGTAAAATTAGCAGAAAATTTATAAGTGACAATGACTCAACTCAATCTCGACTTCAACGGCATTTTATGTTTTGTTTTTATTGAGCTCCGTGGTAAGATGTTACAACGTTAATGATTTAACTTATAATTTGATTTCTTTTGTTACGTATTATAATATGTTAAACGTAAGTTGTAGTCCTTCTAGTACTTGCAAAGTTAGTTTTTGAGAGATTCGACATAGACATATAGACAACTAGTAGAACCCGCGGTTTCGCTCGCGCTAAAACTACAAAAAGAAAATTCTGGAATAGTAGCTTTCATTCAAAATTTCATCCGCTATTTTACCCCCTTATGGAATGAATTTCGAAAAATGCTAAAACAAGTATTTAATTAATTATATTGAAGAGCATTTATACCAAGTTTCAAGTAATTCTGATCATACATATTTTTTTGCATTGTATTATATAGTGTTTTCCCTTGGGAAAGAGATAATCCCTCGCGGTAAAAGTAGCTTATGTCACTCTCCAGCCCTCCAACTATCTCTACACAAAAAATCACGCCAATGTCCAAGTGTTTGGACGTGAAAGAAAGACAAACAAACAAACACACTTTCCCATTTATAATATTAGTATGGATGCATATAAAACAGTTGACTAGTTTCAAAAAATGATATAGTTTACACTGTAAAATGTGGAACGTAGTTATAATTATATTATCCATTTATTAATTTGCGGAGATTCGGTATCTAGATAATTTCGTATAAACACTAGTAGCCGCAAAAGGTTTTGGCACACTACAGTAGGCTGATCTAATTAGTCGTAACAAATTGTTCAATTTATCATCGTTATCTTTAAGAATTTTCTTTCGCTTATTTTTTTATCCATCTTGCTGCAAATTACAAACGTTATATTTGCAAATATCTTGTTAAATGAGTTTTTGTTTCAGTCAGTACTGAACAAGCGTATTTTCTTATTACTTAATTTCGACGCTTAAACTTTAGAATGGAAGAATGGATTCGATCTTAATTTCATTGCCGACTCCCGTACGGATTGGAGATTGAACTTTGTAAACCGCTCTCAAAATGTTTTAGTTTTCTTATCGAATGTTTATATAGGTTTTGTTGAAACGTTTAAACTTAAGTTTAAAGAAAGGAAAACCTTTTACTGAAATAAATTATTGAAACGTCTCGCCTTTCTTATAAGTTATAAGATATTGCCTTCTTACTTTACACGTACAGTGTTTTAGAACTTTTATTTTTCATGACAGTTATTTCTGATAGATAAGTAAAATAACACCCAAACTTTCTCTTATAGTCTTACTAAATTGATAGTTTATTATCTTACAACCTTGACTCAACTTACTCTTACTGATAACTAGTAAACACAATAGATGTACAAACTTGGTGAAAGTGCTATCGCTATCGATTATACGGTTGGTCGTGTCTAGGACACTTTGCCTGACCTATTTCCTTTCTTTAACTGGCTTCGGTTTATTCTCTGAACCCTTCAAGGATTCAATCCTGATAAGTACCGCAATATCAATTTCTTTTGAAGCGTTTCGCTCTTGCATCATCATCCTTTTTCAGTACAGTGGTTCTGTTTTCCCCTCAGTATTTCTTCGTTTTCCTATCATGGGATAGTGCGTGCGCGTAGTGTTTAAGGAAACCGATCAGGACAATTTTGGTACAAATTTTTTCAATACGAATATCCGAATCTGAATACTTTGTCGGCATTTGAAAATTTTCATGATAAGATATTTTAAAAAAAGATTTAAACATTTGGCAAGAATTTTGTGTTGTTTGAATGTTTTATTTTAAGAATGTTTTAAGGTTAAAGTGTGACACTTGTTCAAGTAGATAAATTACAAGTACATAGTATAAACTGTACAGGTTGTATATCAAAACTGTTCCAAACTATAAATAAGTAACAAGAAAAGTATGAGCTAGCACTTTGTTACTTGGGTAGAATGATATTTTGATTTATGAATCGTCTTGATATTACGTTAGAAAGTCGAAGCTTTCTGTATCTTATTTTACCTGCGAATATAACTACTGCGAAATAATGGAATGTTATATTTTCTGTTTGTGGTATTTTAGTATCGAAACAAGGTAGATACAGTATTTTGTAGGGTTATTATACATAAGAGATAGGGATCTATTAAAACACAAACTCGTGTAGAAAAAAAGATATTGAACGTCAAAAACAATAGGTTAGCTTAAAGCCCTAAGACGTAGCTTTTGGTCTTTATTAGTATTGCAGCAAGAGCTTGCACCAAGCATCCATAATTCAATTTCGCATTAGAACTTCGTCCAAGTTACTAGAAGTACTGACTGTAAAGATCATTAAGTCAGCGTACTTGAGAACTTTATTGAATTTACATTGAATTCAACAGGAGGACTAAGAGGAATAATGTCAGAACTCCTTCTGTATCATCGTAATAATAACTTAGTTTCAATAATAACAGTGTAAAATTGAAAAGATAATGGTCGTTGAACGCAAAAGATGCAAAATTTACGTTTGAAAATATACTTTTAAGTAAAATTATCTTTGAAAATGTACTTATTTTAACATTCGTAGCAAAATTGTTTTGTAATAGCTTCTCTCAAATAAATGTTTCAATTATACAGATCTCTTATTCCATTCTTCATGAAATGTCATAAATAACTCACGTTGCTTAATTGCTTTTAGTTCAGCGTTGTTCTTTGAAAATGTAGACAATTATGGTAATTACTAGATACAAAATAAATGGTTTTTAAATAAATAACATTTATTAAAAGCGACTTTTTCATATATATATGGACTTTAGAATTTATTTTATAGCGACAGCGACTAGCGACTCACCCTCGCTTCGCTCGGGTTGGCCCCTTGGTACATTTTATTTTTTTTAAGCGGAACCTTAATTCTTTTACTGAAATAAAAGTAGCCTAAGTTACTCCTTATAACATGAACTACCTGCCAGTGAAAGTCCCGTTTAAATCGGCCCAGCCGTTTTGGAGATTAGCCGGAACAAACAGACACAAAAAAAAAATGTGTTTTTCTTATAAATACCGTATAAAATACCATATGCATTTAGTAAAAAGCTATAATTTTGACATTACAAACACTTTAATTTTATTTATCTGTATAGAAGTTATTTGAAGAATATGTTTCGATTGCATGATCGATCATAGGGCTGTTGATAAGTTAATTTATTCCCATGATAACTGAACTTTTTTTATATTTAACCCAAAATCTGATTCCCTGAATATATTTATATTTGTATTTGCTTTTTCATTTTAACTGACTTCAAAAAAGGCACATTCGGCTAATATTAGCCATTCTTTTGTTTTGTTTATGTTTATTGTACACCGATTAGTCCGAAATCTGGATATGTGCGGTTTTTTCAAATGTAAACATCAGTGAAGTTACGTTAATAAAATATGAGTAATTTCAACTTAATTGCAACAAATGCGAATGTACAGCTCGAAGAGACATAGCGGCCTTTATTTATAGATATTTTAATATACTCGTAAGTCGCTATGTAGCTATATAACGGTAATAGCAATACCCCCGGCTTCGTCCACATCCGTACTTCCGATCGCTACCAAACTTGACAGGATCACTCGCTGGACTAATTTGAAGAATGCCTGAAAATTTCATCAAAATCGCTCCAGCCGTTTTGGAGTCCATGTCACACATACATACGTATTTTTATATATATAGATAAAAAAGTAATACAATGTTAATTTTCCCAGGATATCGACAATCTTATGACAGAAGGCAACAAATCACGAACAGTTGCGGCGACTAATATGAACAGCGAGTCGTCGCGGTCACACGCTGTGTTCAGCGTCGTGTTAACTCAGACGCTCTGCGACTCCGCCACCGGGGTCACGGGAGAGAAGGTGGCGAGACTCTCACTTGTTGATCTAGCAGGATCTGAAAGAGCGGTTAAAACTGGAGCCGTAGGAGACAGGTTAAAAGAAGGGTCAAATATTAATAAGTAAGTGAATTTCGTTAAATATATAAACATAACTTCAATAAAGTACATAATAGTATTAAATAAACAATTATACTATTTTTTGCCCACAGATCCCTCACAACTTTAGGTCTCGTGATATCGAAACTGGCTGATCAATCTTCGGGCAAAAACAATAAGGACAAATTCGTACCCTACAGAGACTCAGTTCTGACATGGTTACTTAAAGATAACCTCGGTGGCAACAGTAAGACAGTTATGGTAAATAATGTTTTATTCTGTGTTATCTCGGCTTCACTGCCTAACAATAGCGTTTGCATCGTCTAAAAATTTTCCGTTCCAAGTTTATTGAGGTGTATATATTTCAATAGAATCACTATTGTGTATAAATTGAGCATCTCTACAATAGATAGATTCTATGTATTCCGCTTCAGTGCAGAAAATAATTGTGAAAATTCTAACAAATAGGTAGGTACTAAATATTGGTTATTCGTATTTCTACTCGTGTCTCTGAATGTTTTATTGCGAGCACGTTTCGTAAAAACTATTGCATTCCTGTTTCAAATTGTCTTATAATTGAGTTTTCATTTCTACGTGTCTATGTCTTATTTGCGAGTAAATATGTAGGTATTTCAAAGGAAGCAAAGTGTGTGTTTTTAATATGAGAGTTTTTATCGATGTTTTTGTCCCTGTGTATAATGAAAAAATAGAAATTTAAAGGCCAGAGTAGTTCCAGACAATCTTCCTACATAGAATTACAATTCTTTATAACAGCCTAAGGTTTAAATTTCACAACATAACATTTCAATGTCGATAATAATGGTTAGTCTATTCATTTCTACCTCTAAGTTGGACTGTCGACTTCTGGGTCTTTTGAGGAAATTAAAAATATTTTATTCAGCATTAAATTATTACAAATTTTGATTGAACGTCATGATTTTACCACCAGTTCAGAAGGAAAAAACCAGAGAAAAGTTTTCGAATGGCATATTTAGGTTTAACTTACAATTAGTTTGTACTATCGAATATGTAGTATCATGAAGCGTGATTTATTATGTAGGTGGCAACAATATCTCCGGCGGCAGATAACTACGAGGAGACGTTATCAACGCTACGGTACGCGGATCGTGCCAAGCGAATTGTCAACCACGCTGTTGTCAATGAAGATCCCAACGCGAGGATCATTCGCGAGCTGCGACAAGAGGTCGAAGCTCTTAAGGAGATGCTTAAACATGCTACTGTAAGTGTTGATGTTTTATTTGTTTATTGATACACTAGTGACACCCTCGCTTCGCTCGGGTTCGGCCCTAGATTAGTTCCCCATACAAACTTTCATCCCCATTTTAACCTTCTTAAGGAATGATTTCCGCGATAAAAAGTATCCTATGTCCTTTCCACTGTCTCAAACTATCTTCTTACCAAATTTCATCTAAATCGGTTCAGTAGATCCAGAGATTACCCTCTACAACGTCACAACCTCACAAACTCATAATTTACAAACTCGCAAACTGTACCTCTTTTTAATATTAGTATAGATGAGTCAGAGGGAAAATATAATTTTAAAATAAATAGAATAGATCAGTCTCTTTGCTTCGGTTTTGTTTTGTGACATTAAATGCTTTACGTATATGTATGTATGTAGTATACATATTATGTACTTAACATATCAGAGTTATGTAAGCAGTTAAGAAAAAAAAATTTCAGGTAATATGCTTACCTTCGAATTTAATAAAATAGTTTTATAAATTTTATTTAGTTTAACGAAAGTAGCACGGAATACCTTTTATTTTCAAATAATAGATAACAGAAAAGATTTACTCTATAGTACCGCTTTGTGGTATAACTCTTTGTATTTTCTTTGTTTTATTAAAGTTCCGAGCGTTTAAAAAACTAAATTTATTTAAACTAAGGATTATCCGTATAAAGCGTAACAAGGGCTGAAACACTCGAGAAAACGGTAATAAGATAAAAGTGTTCGCTTACTCAGCCACATAAGTGGCACTTTATCGACTTAAAATGTATTAAGGGCGTCGTCGATGTTAATATTTGAATACATTACATATGAAGATCGTTGAACGAAAATGTTTTTACAATAGCGTACTTCGATTTTTTTGAAATTATAATTTTCGTGTTTTACGAGTAATATAACGAAGGGATTTGTCAGTTTTTGTTATTACAATTATGTGATTGGCATTCATATTATTATTTAAATTACTCTTTACATAATTGCATCTATCCATTAGTCTAACATTATAATTTGTTATATTGTGCTCTACTCTGATATTAAAAAATGTATTAATTAGTGTTCTAGAAATACATGAAACGTAGTCATATTATGTTTTCCTTTTAATAATAATTTCACAAGGCTGTGGGCGTAATGATTACAAATCGATATATTTATGCAGTTTTTTTACATATAATGTGTATCATATTTTTTGTTTTATTTTATTTTAAAAAATTGAGGCTCGTTAAATTTCAAAATGAGAACCGTTATCATTTATTATGATTAATGAATGTATAACGTAGATGGACATTTTGTTTCAGCTTCAGTTTTTTTACATATTTCGTGATTTTATATTCGATATTTTGTCAGTATTTTTGTTATCTGTATAGGGATCACCTGTGGGCGAAGATGTGCACGAGCAGTTGGCACAAAGTGAGCACCTGATGAAGGAAATGTCCCGTACTTGGGAAGAAAAACTCGTCGAAACTGGTCAGTGTTTATAGACATAATAATGTGTTATAGACATAATAAATGGCATTATATGAGTATAATGAGAGATTTTACAGTATAAAATATATTACAATATTTTTTTACAGGTCGAATACAAAGCGAAAGGCAACATGCTCTGGAAAAAATGGGCATTAGCGTGCAAGCTAGCGGCATTAAAGTAGAAAAGAACAAGTATTACCTTGTAAATCTCAATGCGGATCCATCGCTTAATGAGCTTCTGGTGTATTATTTAAAGGTATGTCTTATTTTGTTGAAAAACACAAAATTTTATTTTAATTGAAGAAAGTGAGTTTCTAAATTGATAAAAAATTACATACATTAAATATAATGTAAAAGGCTATTTATAATATGTCGCGATGATTATACTTTTTTCTAACTTAAAGAGGATATCTTTCAACCGCATTCGCGATAGCGACCGTGATTTATTTGATCTCTTCGACCATACTTATTATGGGATACCATTGCATTTATTTGGACCTTTCAGGAGAGAACACTAGTAGGCGCTGACAGCGAGGCTGACATACAGCTGTCCGGCCTCGGCATACAGCCGCAGCACTGCCTCCTGGTAGTGGAGGGGGCTGGTCTCCTCATGGAACCCTTGAATGGAGCAAGGTGCTTCGTAAACGGCACCCCGGTGGTGTCCGGCGTGAGGCTCGGTCACGCAGACCGCATACTGTGGGGCAACCATCACTTCTTCAGGGTTAACTGTCCCAAAGAGACGAGAAGTGAGTGTGTGTACTTTATTGGTTGTGTGGGTGTTGGGGTGTCGCGAGTTAGATGTGGGATGTAAGGGTTAAGTAGACGGATTTTTGTATTAAGAAATTTTGTCGGCAATTTTAGATTTGGTGAAGACATATTTATTTTGTTAAAGTTATATGTGTTTATAAATTAGAGTAATAAAACTTTTATAAATTCAATTTATATTGTTTACATTCTTTCATTTAATTATAACTAGCGATTAATTCTAGCTTCTTTCGGGTGCGTCCCTGGCACTTAGGAAAATCTATCCAACTGTGGCAAAACAAACACACACTAAGAATTATAATGTAGTCTGAATAACTTTTTTAATAATTGTATGAACGTATAGCAGCGGCGACGTCCGAGCCGCAGACGCCGGCGCAGCCCATCGACTACAACTTCGCGCGCGACGAGATCATGCTCAACGAGCTCAGCAACGACCCCATACAGACCGCCATCTCGCGACTAGAGAAGCAACACGAGGAGGACAAACAGGGTACTCTCACTCTTACTTCTTATATATAATGAGTAATCAAATATAATGAGTTTTATTATATAATTTATATTTGGTTGATTCCCCATACAAATTTTCATCCCCATTTTCACCCCTTTAAGTGATGATTTCCGGGAGAAAAAGTATCCTATGTCCTTCCCAGGGTCTCAAACTATTCACTTACCGAATTTCATCTAAATCGGTTCAGTAGGTCTAGAGATTACTCCCTACAACGTCACAAACTCACAAACTTCACCTCTATAAAATAATTATAGTATATATTGTATATATCTATACTACATGAGTTAATTTGGATATACATAATCAACAATGAAGGAGATCCAGTTAGATGACTAGTAGATCCAGAACAGATGTAACTGGTGAAAAATGACGATGAGAGCTGACTTCTAATGAGGTGAGAAAAGGTCAAAGAGAGAAGGATATTATATAAGTATATACATACCCTTTTACAGCTCCTTTGGGTATGGAATCCTATCGGAACCTTTTGACTAAGCTTACCAACTTATCTGTACTTTTAAAGGGCTTTGTTTTAAGTATAATAAATGGCTTTGATGGAGATTTCAATGTTATAACGTGAATAAATAAAACATTTTACAGTGTTAGTAAAATATGATTATTCATACGTATTATATTGCAAAAAGCTACCTCGGGTTACTAAGTAGTACGTATATACATAATTAAATGAGTCCGAGGTAAGCTTACTCGGATACGTAGTCGAACTTATTCGTAAACGGATTTATTATTTCCCGAGACTAAAGCTATTATATAAATCTGAATTATAAAATGTCCTAAAAGAGATTTTAATTTTGATTAGTTTTATAGTTTATTTTTATTATTTTAGGTTTACAATATTGCTATTTTTTTTTAGTTGCCTTGGAGAAACAAAGACAAGAGTACGAGAGGCAGTTTCAACAGCTTCGAAATATTTTATCGCCGTCGACGCCGTACGCTCCGTATGCCTATGATCCGTTAAAATTAGGTATGACACGAATGACGTATGAGTTTTATTAATAAGTGTTTAATATTTTTATTTAATTAAGGAAATATGTATGTGTAAATATTAATGATTAAATGTAAAAGTATCGCATGAGTGTATATGAGTTCGTTAATTTACTAAAAGATGAAAATTTCTATATATAAAACATTTACTAATCAAATATGTGTAGTGAATATTAAATGTATGAAAAGTTAAATAATTAATCAAAACAAAACTTTTGATAACATATATTGTTATGTATTTTTATTGACAATTAATATATGATGATATAAATAATGAAGAGTATTAGTGAGTATTAGTGAATGAATGAACCGAATGTTATAAATTTATTAAGTATGTATACGACCTATATATTGTTATGCATTCCTTATTGATAGTTAATAAAAGAAAAAGTGGAATAATTTAAATCCAATTAAAAATTAAAATATAGTTTACGAGTACTTTCGAACGGTGACATCAATCAGTGAGTGTACGGTGTGTGTGTGTGTGTGTAGGTAAGATGACGGCGTGCACGCCGACGACGGCGGCGCGCGTGGAGCGCTGGGCGGCGGAGCGCGACGACACGTTCCGGCGGTCGCTGGGGCGGCTCAAGGCGGACATCCTGCGCGCCAACGCGCTCGTGCAGGAGGCCAACTTCCTCGCCGAGGAGATGCGCCGCAACACGCGCTTCAGCGTCACGCTGCAGATACCGCCGCAGAACCTCAGCCCCAACAGGAAGGTACGCGACACGCGACACGCTACACCCACCTTGTGTTGTTTGGTTGTGCTTATCGCTGTCAATGTTCAAACATTTTATAAAAGTAAAGTGATATAAAACGTGTCTTCTCCGTTCTACGTGACATTGGCGAGGTAAATTGTGCCCAACTGGCACTTTTAGAAACCACGAAATAAAGAATTGAATTGAAGAGTAAAATGGGTAATGGGTATTAAATTTTAATTCAAATATTTATAGTTTAGGAAATATTAGATATCTCATAAATGTGTATAATTTACATTTATAAATCTATTATTAATAAATTAAATTTTAATAAAATTTTATTCTGATTTAAACGTATATTAGCGATATATAAGATAGGTATATAAGAAATATTGACTTAAACGTATTTTGGCTTTTATAGTTGGTATCAACACAGTAATATTATTAACAAACGTGAGCGTTTGTTAATCTTTATTTATTTTTTGGATAACTATTTAATACATAACGTTTTAACGACATATTATGTACGTACCCTGTAAGTGAATCCATAAGCGTATATTAGTGACAATGATAAATATTTAGCCTTTTTTAAACATAATATGTATGTTAATATTTGACATTTTAAATGAAATTATCTTTTCGGATTCAATAAGACCGTAACAAACTCCGAAAAGATAGTTTAAAACAACATAATAGCCGATCAATCTCCGTCGTGTCTTCCTTTCTACGTGACATTGACGAAGTAATCTGTACTCAACTGACGCGTTTTGAAGCCATTTACAAGAGAATTCAATAGTGAATATGCATGATCTAAGTAAAGGTGAAATGTTCTTTTTATAATCTTTATTGCTTTTGAATTAAGTCTATAATAATATATTATTTAATGTAATTTCTTTTTAATTAAGAAAATAATTATTAAAAAGTACAAAACAGGTGGGAGATACAAAGTAGATGAAACGCAACGCCATTGGTCAGACCGAATATGACGTCATAGTATCATAACAGAGGATTAGATTTTATCGCTTACAAATTGAGTCGTCATTTCTTTGTGTATATCATACATACTGTGACTACAAACCAAGCGTGCAAAATGGCGGGCGCTTAAAGTATCTGTAACGATATGATATTAAAAAAAAAATATAGTTTTTTGGAGCTGGATATGTTTTTACAGTTATATAACGATGTAAGCTACTGTATAAAAATAATTTAAAAAAATCATGCATAATATTCCCTATTGAATATAATATATAACACAACACAGCGCGGCGCGTTCGTGTCGGAGCCGGCCATCATGGTGCGGCGGCCGTCGCGCGGCGCGCAGGTGTGGTCCATGGAGAAGCTGGAGAACAAGCTCGTGGACATGCGCGACATGTACGACGAGTGGCGCCGCCGCCAGCGCGACGTGCTCGTCGAACCCGTGAGTTGCACCTTTACATATTCATCTATACTTCTACGCTTAATATTATAAAGAGGAAAGATTTGTTTGTCCAGAATAGGCTCCGAAACTACTATACCGATTAAGATGAAATTTTTTAAGAAGATAGCTTTATACTCTGGGAAGGACATAGGATACTTTTTATCCCGGAAAACGTCTCTTAAGGGGGGTGAAAATGAGAATGAAAGTTTGTATGGAGAATCAAGCTAACTAGCTAGTCTGTTATACATTAAAGAATTGATTATTCGCCTGATCTACGGGAATCTTTACCGTTACTAATCCGTGGTCTCGAATAAACATAAATAAGCTTTTATTCGATACACGGGTCAGCTACGGCAAAGCTTCCCGTGTAGACCCGTAGATCGGGTGGACATTCGCAGCTATATATTAAGAATGATGACTATAAATAAGTGAGTAATTTGCTGTAAATTATAGTAATTTAGCTCTTTTTAGTAGTAATGTGCTTGTGTTATTGGAAAACTAAATGGAGCTAATTTAAATGCAACTTTAGCAAATTTGTGGTTTTCATGTGTGAATCTCGTCTTTAACATGATTACCATTCTTTATGTGAAGAAAAACATCACGAAAAAGGCATGTCTAGAATGAGATGCAAGATCTAATTTATGAGCTTGCAATCAATGTTTTGAGAGGAGATTTCAGGTTGTCCACTAACTGGGTTGGCGGAATTTACAGGTTTTCTTAAAAATTAGGTTCTGACTCTTTAAGACAGGCATATTTCCTCACATTCGTTTTCTTCACCGTTTTAGTAATTTAAAATAAGATTCGCACATGAAAATCGAGAACTCGAGAGGTGCGAGGCCCGAAACCTAAAACTAATAGACGCCTAAACTACTTTCACTATGCATCCAAAGCTAGAGTGTTCCCAATAGGGTACGCCTGTTTATAATGTTGTTATTTTTATTTAATATGCAATTAATTTTGAGAATTTTAATATTGAAAAGTTTTTTGAATAAAGATTTTGTATCTATTTAATTAAAACATTAAAATAATGTTTAGTCGTGTATCTTAATTGCTTAAGCTTGTACTGTTTAAATTTAATCTCAGTAAAGGGATTGCTTGTTAAGTATTAAACTAACACGTGCACTATTAACTATGGTATAATTATTTGATTTGCAATTATATGTATGTATACATATAATGACTGATCGCAGCAACTAACGCACCAAACGTACATACGCATTTATTTACAGGACGCGGTACCGATCGATCCTGAAACACCAACGGTGCGTCTTAAATATTTACACACATTTTATTTCACCACTAATCACTAATAAGCCATGTTTGTTTTCAAATAATTAAACTTCATATTGCTTTTTTTTTTTGATAAAATTCTAGTTTAATATGATCTAGCTGTATTTATTGTAGTGTAATAAGTTTATTATAATATGTGTGATATTTATTTATCTATCATTTATTTGTAGTATTAATGTGTAAATAAACAAAAAGATTTGATGTTTCGTACTGATATATACTAATTAATCTCTTTGTAAATTTATTACAATTTGCAACATACTAATACCATTAAAATTATATGGGATTTTTAAAGCAATAGGTCATGTTGTAGCAGAATAATCACACAAGAAAAATATTAGCTTCCTACTAATATATTAATGCTTTTATTTGTACTTCATTATTTAATTACTTCATATATTAAAATTATTAGCTTGAATACCATTTATCATTCATAGTATCATATATTATTTTGAAAAATAAATTTCAATATTATTCTGATCATCTTCTTTATAGGAACCGAGCGAGAAAGCGATTGATCCTTTCTACGAGTCGCAAGAGAATCACAATTTGATCGGCGTCGCTAATATATTCCTGGAGGCGCTGTTTCATGACGTCACCTTGGACTACCACACACCCATTATAAGTCAGCAGGGAGAGGTGGCCGGCAGGTTGCAGGCAAGTTATATATATTGTTATTGTTTTAATATTATTTTCATTAGGGCTTTATCTTTATTAACGTCTTTATAATATATGGTAATGGTAACTTCTTTATTTATAAACAATGACATCTGCATGGAATTACGTTGTACTTAAGTGTAGTAGCTGTTGAAGACAGACTTTAAAAGAATTTAAACAAATTATATATAAGAAATTTCTATTTGTAAATTATCTAGATAATGAGTGACAATGTTCTTCAGATAAATATCAAATCAAATATTCTACCTACCAAATATTACCTAGTAATATATGTCATATAAATTAGTAGTGCGGTATTCCGCACTACTAATTTATATGACATATATTACTAGCGACACATCCTCGTATAGCTTGGACGTGACCTTGTGTGCTACAGTGTTACTTCCAGTCATAGCCTAATCTGTGTACTAAACTTCATCCAAATCGATCCAGCCGTTTCAGCATGAACCAGTAACAAAGATACATTCACACAAACATACAAAGTTTTGCATTTACAATAGTAACCCTCTCTTGATTTTCATTTGCCTGTCTAAAATCATTGTAGAATAAATCAAACTCTCGGGCATTGATGAAGTAGTGAGAAAACACTGGATGGACATACCTAAAAGTAAAGAGAAATGGAAGAGAGTAGAAGAGGTTTTTACCCAAAAGGGGTTCGTGGAGAAAATATTTACAAACTAAGCTAACATATAATATATAAGGCTGTAAATATTTAAATGTATCGATTTAATAAAGCTATATTACCATTATAACAATAACCGTGTGTCCAGGTGGAGATAAGCCGCGTGTCGGGGCAGTTCCCGCAGGACCGCATCTGCGAGGCGGCGTCGGACAGCTCGGGCGACATGCGCGAGGACGACGACCCCGTCGACTCCGCTACACAGCAAGTTAGTACATACAGTAGTCAAACTTCTTAGAATCGTTGTCATTTGAAACCCAATGAAACGGAAATGACACACTAAAAAGAGACAAACACATAAATATATAGGATTAAGCCGGCGAGAAAATGAGAAAGATTACATGCCCATGTTGCCATGGTAACCGTTGTTATTTTCTATTTTTTTAAATAATTTTAGGGGATTTTATAGGGTTTCGTCGTCAAAAGGCTAAAATGGAACCCTTATACATTATGTAATATTTGCTCGGGTACGTTAGTCCTCCTAATTAAAATTATTCCTATAAATATAAAACAAAAATAATTATAGTTATTATTCCTAGTTAAAATGCGAAAACGGAGCTCTTATATTTTATGTAACAGTTTGCTCTAATATATCACATGTTTTGGTTATTTTAGTGTTTAGTGTCTATTTTTAAGGAAACTCTAATTGAGGTTGACACATTCTTTAATATAATTTATCTAACTTGATAAGTTAATATCACAATTAGTCATTGAAAATTGTTATTGATGATGTCATCTGACATTATTAAATCGACAGTAATAATTTTAAATATAACCTAAACATATAAAAATATTCTATTTAAAATTCATATATATATATATATATATATATATATATATATATATATATATATATATATATATATATTTGTTAATTTCATTGAATTGGAATCAACATATAGTTACATATATTACAATAATTAAAACTTGAGATAAAATAATCTATAAGAAAAAGAAATATTAAGTATAAATGCAATATATTTAGACGTCTTAGAAGGAATAGCTCTTCGATACCTATAATATAGTCTATTCAATCGGGCGTGAGACTAAATGTAAACGAACCGAAAAAAAGGTTCTTTTATGCCACGTCCGAAAAGGGTGAAAACTAATTACAAACGGATGAGTACCAATGGTAATAAGTATTGCTTTCAGTCTACGTTATTTCCAAACATTAGATACGGGATAATTTACATAAAAAGTGGATAAAGTTATTTTAAATCTTTTGAAAATAAAAATTTTTTTTTTATAAGAAACTAAAATTGCAAAGATTTAAAAACTTTGGACTACAATTGAATGTGTATTACTTTATACATATATTCGAATATTTTACTATGGAATGTTAACTTTTGTTTCTATTTGTATTTTATTCACTATTTATTGTGCATACTAAACTAACTTATTGACATAAGACGTGTGCCATTTTGTTTAGTTATTTTCGTACATTCTTGTTTTTAATTTATTAAATATGTTGTTGTTGTTATGATTCATTTTGTGTTAAGTTATCTATTAAATAAATTAAGAAAGTATTAAGTTATCTAGTTGTTTGTCCTATATTTTTATTTTGTTTTAATTGTTATTTTCGTAAGCAAAAACATGAGTGTTAAATTATATTTAGCAATAAGTTTGAGAATAATGGTTTCTTTTATACATTAAGTTTTCTCGACTTCAATGAAATATTACGATGTCTGACAGTAAAAACCTTTTTAAGTGAATTTAAAATAGCTTATAACACTTATTGTGTACGGTATTGTGATTTTCTACTATTGAAAATATTTTTAGAATCGGATTCTACATAGTATAAAACAAAGTTGCTTCCCGCTGTCTATGTATGGCTATGTATGCTTAGATCTTTAAAACTACGCAACGAATTTTGATGCGTTTTTTTAATATATAGAGTGATTCAAGAGTAAGGTTTATATTTATAATACATGCACATTATAGTACAGAAAAGCCGAGAAATTCAAAGATTTTTATTTCATACTAACCGTTAAAACGTACATAGGGACAAATCTGAGCGAAGCGAGGGTGAGTCGCTAGTAGAAATTAATTTACTTAACCTCTATAATTCTAGCGTGTAAATAAATGAATGTTTATATCGTTCCACCCAGGTGACAGTGCGCGTAGTGATCAAGCAAGCGAGCGGGCTGCCGCCGTCGCTGTCCAACTTCGTGTTCTGCCAGTACACGCTGTGGGGCGGCGGCGAGCCCGTGGTGGTGCCGCCGCACGTGAGCGCCGACACGCCGCCCGCGCCCGCTCCGACGCCCGCGCCCGCGCCCGCCTCGCCCCGCCACCAGCTCATGACGTTCAGATTCGATCACCGGAGGGACTTCACTGTGCCCTTGACTGAGGAGTTCATCGAGCATTGTGCTGGTAAGTGTTGGTAACCTCTTACATTGTATGTATGTACGAATTTTTATTTGGACCACACTATCAGCTGATAAAGTGGCCTTCGGATTTGATCATCATCATTCGGATTTATTGTGCCGCTCACTGAGAAGTTCGTTGAGCATTATTGCGTCTATCTCATTTTATTATACATATATTCTCACCTCACGGTTAATTTCTAAGAAATCAATTTTTAACCGAGCCACCTGTGACTCGGCAGTCGCTGATAGGTTAACATGAAATTAGTTTTATTCAAGTGAATTTTTATGTGTATTTATTGCATTAGTCTACATGTAGTGTATCTGTGAGAGAAGTGTGGAAGAGCTGGCGAGAAATTCAATACTTGCTCTTTTAAATAATTGCTGAAATTTTCAACCTTATACACTTGCCTCGAACTACAACTTTCGCAGTACACCCTCTTTGCCTGTCATTTTTACGTTGATATCATTTGTTCATTTCCGTTTCAATTAGATTCTCGACGAACTTTTATCGTAGCGTTGACTGAGGAGTTTATTTAGCATTGTGGTCGTTTATATATTTGCAATATACCGTAGAATTTTTCAAGTCGAAGTAGATAACAAAAACTGAGTCACTGAGTCGATTTAGATAAAGACCTAAAATGGAATAATTTGTTTTTTGTAATAATTGTTCTATTAGATTTTTTTAAATATAATATATAAATATTATACGAAAAACTAAAAGAAATGGCCCATTATAAAGAAAATATGTATCGTATCGCATTTTACCATCTACTTCCACTTGAGAAATACTTCCTTTATATATTTCCTCCTGTAGAAGTACATTTTCGGCCAATGCTCGAAACTGTATAGCCGTCGTGTTGAGTGAGTGATCGATAACGATGACCGGTGATTAAAGAACAAATAGCGAGCCTACGTTTCCTCATTCTGCTAAATAGACCAATTAATTTTGTTTTGACAATTCGTTTCGGCTATTGTACTGTGTTTTATTTACAACTTAATTTCATATATAGAGATAATTAATTTTGTAGTATATAATACTACTTTCATAGATTTACGCGTATATTTAACATTTTAAATAAATATCTTTTCGGGTTATTTCGCATTCGAAAAGTCGAGAACCAAAAATCCTATTAAATCCGCGAAATAATCCGAAAAGATAGTTTTATTTAATTTTTGGTATATAGTTAGACATTTTTTTTAAAGTAACCAATATACAGACTGTGGTATGAATTAATTATAAGATTGGAATTCTTGAACTTCAGAAAAAATAACGTTTCCAATGTTAAAATAATTTGGATACCTGAATTTCACCTTTTTTATATATTTTATTATAAATAACAATTAAAGTATAATTTATTATATAGATGCGATGCAATTTAATAGAGTTAAAACAAATTATTTTTTTAAATAAACCTCCTGTGCATCATCTAATTGTTTATTTTTTTAATGTCTTTCTATCTAATGCAGAGGGGGCGCTGTCCATCGAGGTGTGGGGGCACCGGTCGGCCGGGTTCAGCCGCGCGTGCGGCAACTGGGAGGTGGAGCAGCAGCAGCTGGCCAAGGCGCGCTCGCTGGCCGACCGCTGGGCGGAGCTCACGCGCAAGATCGAGCTCTGGGTGGAGATACACGAGCTGAACGACCAGGGCGAGTACGCGCCGGTAGAGGTGAGTGTTTGATGATGATGTACAATGGGATATATGTATGCTTATATTTATTATTTCGATTTTTGGGTATACTATGAGTATATGCGTCGCCATGACGCCTGTTATAGCCAAAATATCGAAAACTCTCAAAAGTAAGTGCTAAATATGGTAAATATCCCGTTTTACATTATATGTGACCGTAAAAGTTTAAAGACTGATATTCTTAAATATTGTACCATATTAGATGAATTGTTTTGACCTGATGCATGGGTACTGAAAGAGAGTTATAGGAATATAAAATGTGGTGACGAGACATGGTCTGTACGTACAGGTGACGCCGCGCGCGGACATCGTGACGGGCGGCGTGTACCAGGTGCGGCAGGGGCAGCAGCGCCGCGTGGGCGTGCGCGTGCGCCCCGCCGCCAACTCCGGCACGCTGCCCATCATCTGCCAGCACATCGTCAGCGTCGAGCTCGGCTCTGTCACTGTCAGGTTGGTACGAGCTTGATTCCCCATACAAACTTTCATCCCCATTGTCACCCCCTTAATGGATGATTTCCGGGATAAAAAGTATCCTATGTCCTTCCTAGGGTCTCAAACTATCTTCTTACGAAATCATCTAAATCGGTTTCGTAGATACGTCACAAACGCACAAATTCACAAACTCACAAACTTTACTTCTTTATAATATTAGTGTAGATTGAAACTATAGGACATTTTATTTTCTATTCCTTCTCCTTCCTTTATCCCTACAGCGCTCCACATTCCATTGTTCGAAACAATGCTGGAACTCTTCCACCATCTCTTTCGGGACACACAAAATGCTTACAAAATATAGCTTGTAGAATCCCACTTCTAATTGGGGAAAACCGTATGATAATCTGTTCAGTAGTTTCTAAGGTTAACCCAAACACCACACAAAATAAAATTTAGTATTTTATAATATGTTTAATATTATAATCTTTTTCCACATAGATCGCGATTACAAAAGCCATTGGATTCATACCAAGAAGAAGACTTGGCGGTGCTCCGGGAGCGCTGGAGCGACGCGCTCGCCCGCCGTAGACAACACTTACATGCACAATTACAGGTTAGATTCACAATGTTCACGTTGTTTGATATTCAATATTTTTTAACTGTCAGATTTTCTACAATATATATTTAAACTTTTAAGCGTATTTGAAATTGTATTCAATTTTTTTTTATTTTAATTTTGCCACTGTATACTTTAAAGGTTTATTTAATAACAATGCCTTCTATTTATATGTGCTAAAAGCCTTAACAAAAAGTGTTAGGTATTTAGGTTTTCTAATCTATTCGTTTATTATTTTGATTTGTTTTGATTTAGCTGTATGTCTATATGATTATATATTTAGGTCCTTGTAAGACAAATCTTAAGGTTACCTGCATTGTTTTTATCTCCCTCTTATAGTGTTTAATTTATTATGTAGTTTATGTGTATTATCTGTCTTTACGTTTATGAAAAGTAATATTATTTGTGTTGGACAGAAACTGGTGAACATGTCGCCGTCAATAAAGAACGAACGTGATATGGAGCGCGAGCAGTCGCTTGTGGAGCAATGGGTGTCGCTCACCGAGGAGAGGAACGCGGTTTGTGCTTACTTATTTATATTACACATATATAGATTACTCTATTGATATAAAAGAACGAGAACAAAATGTAAAAACAGTTTGTTAAAAATGCAAAGTACTTAATGACTGTGCGTGCAGTCTTAATAGTACAAGTATTCTAGTCTAGTCTGATATTTAATGGCAAATGTTTTTTTTTTAGATTATTAGATAGATTTATATCTAATCACTTACAATTGTATGTCTATTAATTGTATTTTTTCTTTGATTTCTTCCTCAGTTCATTTGAACTAGTAAAACTGATGAAAATAGTAAAACCAATAAGGTTCATTGACTCAATGTACATTTTCATTTACAATATATTTGATAACATGAAGTTAGTCAGTATTATTGTATTGCAGGTGCTGGTCCCGAGTCCCGGCAGCCCGATCCCGGGCGCGCCGGCCGCGTGGAGCCCGCCGCCCGGCATGGAGCAGCACATACCCGTCCTCTTCTTAGATCTTAATGGTTTGTATGGATGGACTTACGAGTAGAATATCATTGTGTACATATTGCATGTGTATAATATGGGCACTGATAATACTTATTACTCAGGATCGTCAACAGAAAATACAATATCAAATGTAAAGTTTGTAAATTTGAATGTAGGAGAAAATATCTGAAAGTACGGAAAATTCGATTTAGAAATTTCTTTTAATAATAGGAGAATATATTGCCGATGAATGCTGGTCTTTTTTTTACTCCGTTAAAAATTTATTTACTGTTGGAATAATAATTGGGATAATAATTGTATATATTTTAAACTAAGTTTAATTATAGGAATTAGTCGTTAATAATTACCTCGCTCCGCTCGGGTTCGTCCCTAATTATGTTTTAACGATTAGATTAGATTTTGCAGAGATAAGATATATATATATATATATAAAATATAATTACGTATCACTCAGAAATTAAAACGATCACCCAACATTGCAGCGGACGACCTGACGACGCACTCGTCGGGCGAGGAGGTGACGGTGGCGGGGCTACACTCCATCCTGCCGAAGGAGCACGGCAACAAGTTCTACGAGCTCCAGATCCTGCACCACCACGACAAGGACGTGTCCGCCGTCGCCTCCTGGGACTCCTCCATACACGACTCACAGTATCTCAACAGGATCACAGAAGGTATCCGTCTGTCTGATAATAATAATTATTATATTTATATATTTTTTTATACGATTTTAATGTAGTGATAAATGTTTTTTTTACTTGATCGTGTAACTGAGATTTCTTGTATATTTGGTTTCCCAAATAATTTTATGGAAATAAAAGCGATCAATGTATGTAAGAAATGCGTAATATTATAGTTATGTGTGTGCTTTGCATGTTTTTTTTCTTCAAGTTGAAACGGCTGGATGGATTTAGATGATATTTAATAAACTATGAACTATGAACTGGACTATCGTTGGATACCTAGATACCTTAGCGAAGCAAGAGTTAAGTATAAGTAAGTGATTATAATTATTTAAACATATTTGTTTATACATATAGAGTATTAATATATTCCAGCAAACGAGCGAGTGTACTTAATATTAAAGACGACCGTGCGCCTCTCGCACCCCGCACCCATGGACCTCATCCTGCGCAAGCGCCTCGCGCTCAACATCTACAAGCGCCAGAGTCTCACCGATCGGATAAGGAAGAAGATTGTGAGGTTAGTACGTTTGCTTTGTAGTTTCTACTACTATTGCTACTACATATTTTAAAATCACGTACTGAATAGTCTTGAAGATATTTAACGGCAATATTTTTGGAGTATTAGATTGTTTCACGACTTTTTATTCGAGCATTACATGCTCGAAATATGCTTATAATAATGTATATGCAAAAATAATGCTTGCTTAAAGTATTATTCTTAATGGAAATAAAAAATAACCTTTTTATACTCTACAATATAAATAATATTTTATATTTTTTTCCCTCCACAGAATCGACCAGCTAACCCAAACAGGTGTCACCTACGAGGTGGTCTCTAACATACCGAAAGCATCCGAAGAATTGGAAGAGCGTGAAAGTCTCGCGCAGATCGCGGCTACAGGGGAGGAGGCCAGTGCAGCGGACGGAGAAACTTATATTGGTATTTATCTATATATATTATACTAAAATATTAAAACGGTTTTGTAGCGTTGGTTGTAATCAACCTATTATAATTATGATTATCTTAATAACTAATAACTAAAAAAGCGCAATATACATAATTTAATTACTCATTATTTATATTAATAGTTCAGTTCATATTTAATGTTATAGAAATAAAATATTTTTACTTTTTTTTTAAAGAAAAATACACGCGAGGCGTAAGCGCTGTCGAGAGCATATTGACGCTCGATCGTTTGCGACAAAGCGTCGCCGTTAAGGAGCTGGAGCAGGCTCGTGGTCAACCTATCACCATGCGGAAAACAGCCTCCGTACCGAACTTCTCGCAGGTAACGCATATTGTACCCTATCATATCGCACTAAGGTCCATTTCGCCTTGAGACCGGATCAATTGACGGCGTTACGCCACATATCACACGCATGTCTGATGAACAAGGTATAACATGTCATTCTACAATAACAAAACCGTCCCATTCGAAACTCACATATAAATACTTTTTTCATCGGCTCACATGAGATCTATAAAACAGCATCAGGGCCGTACAATAATATTATTTGCTCACGAGATCACAGCTTCCAACTAGACGTTACACAAAGACGCAGACGTTGAGGTGGTGAGAGAGCGAATCCAACGTGTCACTAGTAATTGTGGTTTTCAGGGAAGTTTCTCACGACGCGATGCGTTACAAAGTATATGCAACGCAACGCAATATGTCGTACGTTTCGTATCGACGTTGCAAGCGCAGGCTGAAGTGCCGGATAGCGTTGCGTCGCGTAGCGTGGTGAGAAAATACCCCTCTTATGCGTCCGCTTTGAGATACGCCATCGATGTCGTACGACACACGCTCCATGTATACTCCATGTCGTATCGTAGTCCGTCCGTACCGCGGCCATCAATTTCGCGCTACACAGTACCTATGATACTGTACTAATATTACTGTATTCACCGAATGAACCAAGCACTGAGATTTTGCGCTTCCACGTGATTAGTTGCAGATAATACGCTTAGGCCGCGATTGCAATGCAAGTCATGATTAGTCCGCCGTTGCAATACGTATCGTTCAGACGTCTCTCGTGTAACTACCGGATTTATTATCAATGTAGGAGATGACAGTGATACGTCGGAAAGTGAAAATTAATGAATAATTTATATACATATTTAAACAAAAAAAAAAACCATACAGACGAACATACTCCTCCTTTTTGGAAGTCGGTTAAAATACAGTTAATTTTATTTTAATGTTGATTATATTTTATTACAAATTATTAATAATTCCTTACTAAAGCATTAGCAACATGAACAAGCCCTATGATTTCAAACCTGTTGCAAGCGTTAGTAGGCGGAGTTAGATAATTTTCTGTCCTTATCAGTTTGTATGCTAATGTGGGACAGAAAAAGCGCTTTTCTTGGTTCACTCTGTGAATAGAGTATACCCACTACGGGTACTGCGAGCGAGCTTACAATACTACCATTACTAAATGCTTACGCTGGTTCACTTAAGTGACTAACGAATTAACTATACTAATTTATATTGTTTGTTTTATTTACATATATATGTCATGTCAATATAGTTGTGAGGTTTTTAACATAGTATATTTATATATACAAATATTTTATTAATATATACCTATAGAAATGTTTATTTTTATGATTGGTTGATTTTTTAAGGCAATTGTGTTAATTTTTTTTGAATAAAAAAATAAATAAATTTCTCGTGTTGCGGCGTTTGAATTTAATTAGTACGGTTATACCGTCTATATCGTATATCTCTAAGACGGGATAAATTAATCAAAATATAACATAAATTCGCGGATAATTTGATTTTCAATTTTAAATGAATATTTTAATTTTAAGCAGTGGGCTGTAAAAAATTCAATTACAAAATTCAATAAAATATTTCATGCAATGAAAATTGTCCGAAATTGTTATATGTATATATTTTTAAAATTATGTCGGCAATAACAATAACTATAAGTCATTGATGTATTACACAGCTTATTGAGTTTGTATACACAAGCGAGTTGAACGACCACAATATTTAAAGTTTTTAATTGAATTTAAAATGACACCTCGAAACATAATCACTATACATTAAAAATGAAATCACTCTACAGGGTAATACTAAATAGCGTCATGTATTTATAATATTAATAAGATTCTATTTAAAATATGTCATAAAATATTTCATCAATATCGGCTAAATTGGTCTTATTGATAAACTTATTTTATCTATTTAGCAAAAAATGATCTTTGAAGTTTTCTTCGTTATCGTTTGTCCTTATAGTCATGTTATTATTGTGTTTGTAAGAAAAAGACAAAGCATTGTTTCCTATATTATTGATAAATAAAGAGAAAATATTATAATAGTAATGAATGAATTAGTATTATATGTATACTGTGTATGAACTCGCTCGTATACACAAGCTCTAATGTATGTGTTGTGGCCACGCACGCCGCAGCTGTCGCAGGCGCTCGAGACCGCGGCCAAGAACGGGACGAACGTGAGTCGCATGGCCCCACTTGCCTCTGCCTCGCTATCTTTTGGTTGCCTTTCATATTATGTTGTATTTACTATACGACTCATGGTGTTTATTATAATGTATCATATTTTGTATTGGAGTGATGTTGAAATGGACTACTAAGTGAAATTATTAGAATTGAGTCATTTATTCTAAGGATGAGGTTTGAGTACTTTTTTATGAGATTAGTAATGTAAAATAAATAATTTCAATAATATTGTACGGGAATGATTGAAGTCCATATTGTAGTTTTTTAGAACAAATTTCTGTAATAGTTTTAGCATGTAGATCCATTTCAATGGTTCTCCTAGTTTATCACTGTATAATATGTCATCCGTACTCATATAAAGGTGAAATACTTCATTTCTAGTGAATAGATACATCAATATAGGACTAGATACAGTGAATTTCATTCTATCATTAGGTATATTGTGTTTGTGGCTTTGGCGATATATTTCAAATTGATTTTCTGATTCCTCTATCTACGTAAAGGTTTTTGGGTGTTACTACTTGGAAACGATGACTTACTGTATCTTTAAAAAATGAATCTTGCCATTTAAATCTGAATAAACCTAAGATCTACTTCTCTAGATGCACTATAAACACTGCAATAAAAATAAGATCAGAATTTATATCACTTCCCAATCCATTCACTGTTTGCAAGAAACTCTGTCCACAGAGGTACCTATACAAGCAAAACTTAAACACCTTCTGATGAAAATGTAAATACATAAACGCAGGTGTGGGAAAAATCTTTGGTAACGTCAAATAAACAAATTCACCAATTACCTTTGTATTAATCGATTTCCATATAAAAAGTCAATATTTTGTAGATTTTAGACGAATGCCTCAATCATTAGCGCTACCTATCATCTATCTATCACTATAAAGCACCGCTTAAGTGTATGCATAACTTCTATCTATAATATTCAGATTATGCGTTTGGACTCGTCGTTCGAGTCGCTGTCGGGTCTGGCGGGCGGGCGCTCGGGCAGCGTGGCCGACCTCGCGGACGAGACGCCGCGCCGCAACGCGCACCGCCACTCGTACGCCGCGCCCGCGCACAACGACCCGGACATCGCCACGCCCACTAAACCGTTCGGCCTTGGTGAGTTGTCTTTTGTTATTGTTTTTTTTTATATGCAAATATATCGATTTGTTAATGTTATTTGATTTAATAATAAAAAAACAAAAATGTTTTTTTTTGTGTGTTTATATTTAATATTTATTGTGTAAAATAACAATTTTATTCTTTTTCAGTCAAGTACTACTAACTACAATTAAAGCGAAATTCGTTCTATTTTCTTTCACTCATACAAATCTTACAATCATTTACTACGTCACACCGATTTTTGACTCGTCTTATTTATATGTACATTTTATCAAATCTATTTTATTATTTATGTAAACATGTAATCGTGTTATATATATTGATATTAAATTTACTTATATATGTTTAAATATAATACGGCTAGTGCACCACGTAGTATAGGACTTAAAATCTCTTAGCGTTTGTGTAAGAACAATACAAATGCACGATCATAGTTATTGAGGGAACTTAGTTTAGAAAAACAAAACAAAACTTAGAGTATTTTCAATTAGTACGCGTAGTTTGTTCCGTATATAAAAACACAATGGTTCGAATTTACATATTTTACAATTCGTATAGGCGACACCGTCACGTTATTTCATCGTGTTTTCCACAATACCACATACTTCATGATTCCACTATAATTTACGTTTTGTCCCACTCGCTTCGTGGCAATGCTATGCTCCATACACTATCACCCTCTTCTCCTATCTCCATTTCTTCGTATAACTTCTTTATCGACATTGAAACGTTCGTTCAAAATTCGATAAAGAATATGCCATTTTAATCTTTTGCGTAGTATTTATTTGAATTAATCTTTTATATCATATCTATGAAATTTTATTTCAAATAATACTTCCGAGACCATATGAATTAAGATGGCAAAATTTTAAACACAGTTTGAACTAACGTTGTTTTTTTTGTATCTTGATTCCTCGCTACCGTCAGGCTCGTTTCTATCAGGTAAAATGACAATGAATGATACTGAATGGCAACTGTATGGCAAAATTCTTAGACGTAAATTTTATGTAACATTGGAAATACCGAATAGCTATGCTGTTAAATAAAAATTGGGATCGTGTTTTGTTTTTAATTGGCTGTTAAATTGGTTAAAAATTGTCTTGGTACCATTAGCTACACTCGATTATTAATAAGATAAAGTAAAACTCGAGGCACTGATATAAAAATAGAAAGTATCGCTGAGGCTGTTGTACCTTAACTATATCGGGCTTCGAGCATCCAGCTGGCTTCTATTGTTGTGTCACCCTTTGTTTGTTTGCGTGTATCTTTCATTTGCATGGGGCGAGCATGACCAGTAATTACTTTCCTTTCCCACTCACCTTTATTTGCTGACGACTGCGGCAAAATGCTTCGATTTTAGATCACTCTCCGGGGCGCGATTAACTTAAACAACCGTTAAAGTTATATATTTAAAAAATATATTATATGACACAGCCTAACGATAAAGTATTATTTAAAATTTAGGTTATAATATATTACAATTACTGAGGTAAATGAACAACTTGAGAGGCAGTTTTGTATCTGTGTTGTAGATAGCAATAGTAGTCCTAGAAATAAAGAATTGGTTGTTGGTTTGTGAATGTGTTAGGTACAAGGTGCATGTGAAACGTAGCGACACGTACTTCATATATTTATAAATGAAATGTGGATAGAAAGTATTAAACAGAGCATGGACTATGTATAAATAGCGTAATAAAATTAGTATTAATGTATATAAGAAAAAATATCAAAAAAGGTTTTTAAAAAACTGAATTAAATGTAGATATTAATTAATTATGTAAGAACTAACTTTTTATAGTATTTATATTGTAAACGATAATTAATTAATAATTTATGATAATGTGGTGATTAAAAGTTAATCTTTTAGAGATTTAAATCGACTGGTTTAAATGCATTTAAATCTCAAATTATTCCCAATACTTGACTTTCGGATTGCTGTTCTCGAACGTGTCCTATACTTTTGATACAATTTGAGGTTTGCTTAATATTTCGATATGTAGATACCAAGGTTTGTATCACTGTCATTATTAAATAATTGGGAAAAAATTTAAAACTTAGTTCAGGCGAGCACTGTGTGAGAAAGAGAAGAATGTAGGCTCGTTAATTGATAAGAATTTTACCATTTTTATTACAGCTCGACCAACGTTCCTTAACTTGAATTTGAACCTGAACTCACTGCGACTGCAGACGCCCAACAAGTGTACGTGCAGATCTTAAGTCGTAGAATCATTAGACTGGCTTGTTTCTAAATTTTTGTTTGGTTCTATCATAAAACTTTGGTTTTGCTCATTTTGTCTACTTCCAATTCGATTCGTATCTATCTATCTATCTACAAAATTTTTGTATATATTTCAAAGATTATTTGGAAATTTTCAAGTACCTTTTATTTAAAATATCTTGATCTTGACCAATTGTGTTTTATTTTAATTTGCTAACTCTAAAGTTATTCGTTTGACATTGGCATGAAATCATTCACAAGTGAGCATGAATTGGCGATTACCAAATTTTTAAAGTCTTCAGTTTATTGTATCATTATCTGTTATTCATAATTTTTGTTCGAATTGACTCGTTGTTCGCTCTATTAGTGTAATTATTTGCGGTAGGCTCTCATTTCGTTAACGTATCTAGATCTAAGTTTTAGTTCAGTTTTATATCGTAAATGCTTTGCTAGTTACAAATTACTCAAGTTTCTATTTTATTTGTAGGATTTTTGCTAGAAAGTAATTGAAAACTTGTTTAGGATATAGGGAATAATGTAATGTGTATATTTTTAGCATCACCCGCTAGTGGGAAATTGGGTCTTCGTATGACGACACTGCACGAGGAGCCGGGACGTAAGAACGATGAAGATTCTCACTCCGAGCCGGAGTCTGCGCCCACTGATGAGCTTACTACGCCACGTTCTCATGTAAGTTTTGACTGTAGCTTTTGTTCGCTTCGAATTTTATCTGCCTTGTTTTCAATTTAAACCTTATTATTCCTTTAGATTACTATTACAAGTTATGGTATACAAATGTTAGGTATATGAAGAAAATTAAAAAATAATGTATTTCAGAAGAATTTTTTTGAATTTTTGTGTAAAACATTTAAATACTTTTGAACTTCAGCGTACCCGTTCTCGGGCTACATCGCGTGGATTCTTGCCAACTTCGAAGACTCTCGATTCATTACACGAACTCGCGTGTGAACGAGTGCCCAATAAAAGTTCACCATCGATATCATCTAGTGGATATGGTAAGTTTTATGCTGTAAGCCACAAATACTTAAGACCGGCCATTTTCTTTTAATCGTATCATAATTAAATGATAATATTGTATTTATATTTAAAGCTTTTGCAGAATTTCTATATGTTTATTTTTATATTAAAAAAGGTCAATTCCTAATAAATCAATTTTATGTTAGATATATTTTAATTTGTTCAGGTTCCCAAGCAGTATCATCAACAAATCTCACAAATGATGACACGCTTTCAATTAGAAGTATGTCAGTAGACGACACCCCGGACTTCGATAAAACTATGGACTATACAAATCTAAGTCGAACAAAAACATCAATGGCGGGCCTCAGGAACGAGATAACTGAATTGAGAAACGATATAAGCGAACTGAAGAATGAAATCGTTGAATCAAAGAATGAACTGGAAGAGGCGACATTCGACAAAGCTAAAACCCCTGTACTGACCCCAGGGTCCCGGAATAGAATCAATCCATTCTTACGGGACTGTGAGGAGATATGTAAGAAGGAAGCCCCTATGCTTGATCCTTTGGGAGCCATTCCGGTAGAAACCGCAGTGTTGTCTAGTCAAACGCATAAAGAAAACGTCCAAGTTAATGGCGAAACCACTCATGAAACCTCTTTCAGTAAGTATTCTTTTTGAAATCCTAATTATTGAGAGATTTCTTTTTTAATTACATAAAACTAGTTCTTTGCAGTCGACTCCGCTTATGTGGTGGGTATATCAATGCAATGTTGCCGATGATCGTCCAGGATATCTTTAGCCCAAAATGTGCTCAAATCATTAAATAAAACGTAAATAAGTAAACCTGATGCGTTGCCATCTAAACAAGTTACAATAACTATTGTTTTTGTAATATTAGTTTGATAAAAACTTTTTATAATACTTTATTATATTCAAAATTCAAAATAAATCCGCGAAAAAATCCGAAAACATAGTTTTTAACTTTTTAATACATTTTTTTTTTCATATAAAATTGGTTTCGATGTGACAGGTGAAGCAGACGTAGAGTCAGTGAGCTCTGAACAGTCGAGTCAAGAGGCGTGCAGTCGCGAGACCTCGTCGATGGGGGAGAGCGACTCGCCCGGCCCCGACCCCGTCGTCAACACGTCGCTACCGGCTGGCAAGGTATATACTAATAATCCATACTAATATTGTAAACGTGAAAATGTGTTTGTTTGTTCGTCCTTATTTCACGTCGAAACGGAGTGACGGATTGGCGTGATTTTTTGTGTGGAGATAGTTGGAAAGCTGGAGAGTGATATAGGCATAGACTTTTTACCGCAGGAGATTATCTCATTCCCACGGGAAAACACGTTATAATATAATGCTCTTCAATATAATTAATAAACGCGCATTTTAGCATTTTTCAAAATTCATAGAGGGTGTAAAGTAGAGGATGAGTTTTAGCGCGAGCGAAGCGGTGGGTTCTACTAGTAATAAACAAATATGTTGGGACATTAACTATCTAGTTCCATTGTAATGTGTGTTACGGGTTCAGGTTAGTTGATACACATACTTGACTTTAAATACATACATATTATAAATATAAATACCCATGACTGGGGTACAATCATTCGTGCTCGTCACACAAATGAGTGCCCCCAGCGGCACTTGAACCAGAGGCTGCTGGCACAGCAAGTAGGGTCACTAGTCATTACAAACTGAGCCAAACGTGTCGTCAAGATAATGATTTTTAATATTTTAAATTAATTTAGAACAATGAGGTACAGATAATAGCATATATAAAAGAAGCTATGTTTTGTAATACAACTTAAGGTTTCATAAATAACAAATACAACCAAAAGTAAATAATTCGAAGGTTTAAATCGATTGATTATACCTGGCTTTCCTTTGAGTTCATCGCGGATGATTCAGGGCAAAAATAAGGCTGAAACCAAATAATGATTTAGTATTTAAAGAAAATACGATCGATGTTATAATATTATAAAGTTATAATATATAAAATGCATAACAAAATATATAACGAGGTCGCAATGCCAATATCAGTTGCCATGCTAATGCATAAATAAATCAATTACGAAAACTTACAATATTTAGTGACATAGATGTTTGAAGTAAACGTTTTTTTATATATATTATGATTTCCTTTTTAAATTGTTCTTTATATTCGTTTATATTATATTTTATATATTTTTTTATATTAACTTGCAGGTGGTGCGTCGTCGCGCGGGCACGGCGTCGCGCAACGCGGCGCGCGCGTCGTACCCGGCGGCGCGGCCCAAGTCCGCGCACGAGCCGCGTCTGCGCGACACGCCCGCCTCCTCCACCGAGAGGATTGGGGACGGTGAGTACAAACCACTGGAGAGCATTCGTCAACCCATTAACACGAAGGTTCTATAGGGCACTCATTAATTACTTAAGGATGATTTTGACGATTTTTGACCGCCCCTACCCCCATGTAAGGATACATAAGATTTCTCGAACCCCCCTTCCTCATCTTACGTAAGATTCAATCTCGTTTTTCTGAATAATAAAACGTTGTTTGAAAAGGATCAGATCGGAAGTACGCGGGAAGAATTCACTATAATATAATTATTATTTATAATATTTAAAATGGATGAAAATGAATATATTTAAGATTGTAAAATTTTAATAAGCAATAAAAAATTGTAAAATATGATGTAAATCGAAGTGCGCATTATGGAATAAAGAAAATCTTTCAGCATCCGAAATAGAAATAGATTTTGAATAATAAATGTTGACTTGTAAAATATTACGTAAGAATGAGTTTTAGCCACCCTCCCCGCCCCAGACAAGGGCAAGTATAGATTTTCTTTTATTTTTGTATTTATGAATGAGCCTAATGTGTGAATTGTATTATGGGGAGTTATGGGACTGTAATAAACAAAAAAATTGTTTTAAGTAATTTTGCATTTGGTTAACCATCTTTGTTTTTGTATTTATGAATGTGCCATGTTAACATGACGGTACATACTCGTATGTATGACAGAGGGTGTGGAGGCGTGCGGCGGGCACGCGGTGCCGGAGTGGGTGTGCGTGGGCGAGAGCGTGCAGCTGCGGCTGAGCAGCAGCACGGGCGTGGTGGCGTACGTCGGCCCCACGCACTTCGCGCACGGGCCCTGGGTCGGCGTCGAGCTAGATGCGCCCATCGGTACGTACATATGTACATGTTTATCCTAATAGTTTCTTAGATTTACGCGAATATTCGTACATTTTAAATAAATCCAACCATACACCGGGCCCAATTGTGTTTTCAAGCTATCCAGGAGCCCATTGAAATATACACACAAAATTTCATCTAAATCGGTCCAGCCCCTTATGAGGAGTAAGGTGAGTGGTGACAAACACACGTACAGAAAAATTATATATATTACTAGCGACTTTGAATGTCTCGGCTTTTCTGTACTATAATATGCGTGTATTACACATATAAACCTGCCTCTTGAATCACTCTATCTATTAAAAAAACCACATCAAAATCCGTTGCGTAGTTTTAAAGATGTAAGCATACATAGGGACAGACAGACAGCGGGAAGCGACTTTGTTTTATACTATATACTTAGTGAAGATATAAATGACCGCAGGTAAGAACGACGGGTCGGTGGGCGGCACGCGCTACTTCTCGTGCCGGCCGCGCCACGGCATCTTCGTGCGCGCCGACAAGCTGGTGCAGGACCGGCGCGGCCGCAGCGTGCGCGCCTTCCGCGACACTGAGCTCAAGCGCGCCAACAGCAAGGGTGGGTATACTCTTATATAATACTCTTAATATTTATAACACGTATCGTATCGTATCTTCTTTCAAATAGCAGATAATATTATACAATAATTATATGTACTAAAGTAAAATAATATCCGAGCTTAGCGCCCCAACTGTAAGGGTTCATACGCACGTTGCACATAAATAGACTCTTCATTACTCTACTACAAAACTCTATGTATCTTATTTTAAATCACACAACTAAGTCTAAGTAACACTCTTATTTTAAGTCAGTCAGTGCCTTTAGAATATATACGAGTGTAGGTACCTACTATTACATTTGGCGTGGCACTGACTCGAAACCTATCAATAGGTAGCACATTCAAATAATAGTATTTTATTAATATTAAGGGTATTAGGTTTGCATAAGAGGTGTATTAAATCTTTATTAAGTCATTTTATACTTTTTAGTTTATGAAGTCGGTTTTTTTAAACGTAGTTTTTTTATCCGTTTAAGCCATTAATAAAGAAAAGATTAGATTAGATAATTATTTCATGATAATATAATTATTAAATCAATACCACAGTCAGTTTACGGATCTGTATGTTGTTTGCAGGCGAAGGCCTCCACAAGCTGCACAGGTCGCGGAGTCGCGGCGACAGCATAAACGCGGTGGGCACGAAGAGCCGCGCCAAGTAAGCCAGCGCGGCTCACCTACACTCACCTTATATTTAAGTTGCGATCCCGTAACGCGTATGGTGCTTTATATTTTATTGTATTTTATCCCATTTGACAATGCAATATACCTTTATTTATATCATTACTGATTGTATTGGGGAAACTCGATTCTCCTCCCGATCGTTGACTCGATTAATGAATCGATGACGGAGAATCGCTCGTTTCCGATCGATCTTTGACGGATGCCAGTAATGGTTATATTTTAATTGATTGATTTTGTGTTTTTTCATCCATTGACCACTGAATTTGTAAATATCTGTTTTCGATCATGTAATTTTTTAATTTTATTTTTTTTATGTAATTACGTTCCAATGTAAATATTTGAATCTTTGTGTGTGTTGTCGGTTATTTAATTTAGAAGTCAAATGAGTTTGTGATTGATATAAGTCGATGGATTATTTGTATAGAATTTTTTTACTGTATAGTTTGTGGTGTAGATGTTACGGTAAATTATTTATGTATTAGCTCATTCACAATGCTTTTTTTTAGTGAGTGGGGTATTATCGTTTGGTATGTGCATCGCAACGAAACCCTTAGTCTTCTAGTTTGGCCAAAATCAGGACCAGTTTAACTGCCATAAACATCGGGTTAAAATTAAAAAATTAGAGAATTGTAACGACTTTTTGACGCACGATGTTGTGATTGACATCGATTTTTAGTAAATTGAGTTCCTATGAGCATTTTGATGTCTCCCCGGCACGATTATACGAATTAAGAAAGATGGCCTCGTAATATTCACTTCCTTATATTTACTAAGTGTATTTAAATTTGCCTCCCAAATTGCTCAGGACTTAGGCACCGTTGCCAGTTTGTGATAGTTTCTTGCCACCGTAACTAGAGACCGTAAATTTATTTTTCTATATCACTAAACTAGCGTTTTCGCCCTAATAATTTTCGATATAAATACGAAATCGTCCAATGCTACATCTTCGTCCTTTTAAAGACTTGTACTTAGTACACCGAAAGCCATACGACGGACTAAAGATGGCCAAAAACACTGACATCCTTGTAGGCGCGGGCGACGGGCCGCTATGGGCGGGGTCGAGTTTCATACCATTTTTGTATTATAAATTGCTATTTGGACACTTTTATCGTTTACCACCGCGCAGTGCCGCCGCGGCCGCCGCCCGGGCCCTGTCTTATATCGATTAGGTTGTGTAGGTATTTTCAGATGTAATGTAAAATAAGTGTTTGTAGTGGTTTTTGGTGAGATGTATATTAAAGAAAATCATAATCAAACTTTTGTCCTCAAATTGTATCTCCATCCACATTCGAACAATAATTAATCGGTGATGTGTATATTTTGTGCGACGCCTCGCGTCGTCCAGGCGTAGTGTAGCTCACCTAATGTATATTCCATCCTCTTAGAGTAATCGTTAAGTACACTTACGAGTACACATAGTTATATCGCCTCGTTGTTTACTATAGTTAAGTGTCACACAGCGTCGTAGCCCGCCACTTGCCTCCATTCCTGTACACTGTGTTGTATATTAATATTTAATGTGACATTATTATATTAAATATATGAAAGTTATCAAATTATACAGCCATTTTTAAATATGCACTCGGTGAATTCGACGCCAAATCGTAGTTTATTCGTAAGCCTCGACTGACGTCATACTGTCCCAGGCTCATAGCAAGCTTGCTAGACTGTCGTACTTAAACATTCCATTTGCATTACATTTATTGTTCTACCTAAACCGTTGTAGGTTTTAAGTTAGATTTTATAGACAGATACGTTTTCTGAAATTTTTGCATTTTTAAAATGAATTTGAATCGTAGGTCAGTTTGTATGTGACCTGTCTTGGCACTACATTTGCTTCTCATATCGTAAATCATTGACCGGATAAATAGCGATTTGAAAATTTGTTGAAATGATGTATAATGGCAGCTATTATCAATTTGACCATTTATTCGATCAATGATTTAGCGATTTTGGGTTTCGATTGTAATAGCTAGGCCGGTCTCGACTAGGGCAGCTCAATGTGTAGTCGACGTTAAAAAAATCTAATGGAAAAAAAATATTAAAATGTTTTCATATATCGTAGGATGTGTCTTTGAAACTCTCGATGTGCTTGTGTCCAGTAGTATAGATCTCGGGCAAGGGAAATGTTGGACAGAGAGACGGCGGAACGCAACGTGGAAGATGCACTAGTAGGGCTCCTAAGTTAGGCTAATAGTGATCTTTAAGCGTCGTAGCTCGTAATATTATTATTATTTTTTTTTGTAGAATTTAAGCTGACCATGTGCTGTGCTTTTGTTTTAAATAATAGTTTTAGGTAAATGAAATTATTTGTTTATATTATAATAATTATAATTATTTTATATTCATGTAGTATTTCGTATTTATTGCAGTCAATTCGATACGAGCTTTTAACGTGTATGATTTCATTATGACTTTGATTGTAAGCATAGTTGGTTCGTTGTTTTGCCGATCTTTATATGTAAAGTAATGATAGATCACAAATCAAATGTATTTCTGTTTCTTTGTATGTGATAAGCGTATAGAGTAGGTGGCTACTTGGTAGTCTATAGATGATTGCATCTTCATTATTGTAAACATTAATTAAATAAAGAGATTTTAATATTTAAATACAAAAATAGTTCACTTCTAGTGGAAATATTTTTGCCAAGTACGGAAGTAGCGGATTCGAGTCAACCATCGCTGTCATCAATAAATGTATAATAAAATATTTTGTTTCATTTACTAATTATATTTGTTGTTTTATTATTTATTTTGTGTAGACTGTACCTTTTTTCTTCCTTTCCTGGTCTGGTAATGTTTAGCTACTAGTTGTAGCTATACTTTAGATACCTTACATATATGTAGATATTTAGATCTAGAATATACAATATAGTAGAAGTTTTGACGTAGAGTGAGTGGCATTGATAGAGATACCTTAGAATTAATATTAGGTAGAGATGAGATTGTGTGATTGATATTTGAATTTTGATGAAATATACTAGTAATAAATAGTATACTATACTATATACATACCTACATAAATATATAGCGTATAAATAGTGCTCATGCGCTCACAAGATTTTGATTTAAAAGAAACTGTTACATTAAATAGATAGTATATGTTTATCTATACAGATAAATAAAATTGAAGGGTCTGTTTGTAATGTTAAAATAACAGCGTTTTACTAAATGCATATCAAATTATATAGGGTACCTATAAGAAAATCACATTTTTTTTTAATTTTTGTCTGTTCCGGATAATCTCTGAAACAGCTGGACTGATTTTAACGGGATTTTCACTGGAAGATAGCTGATGTTACAGGGAGTAACATAGGCTACTTTTATTTTAGAAAAAGAATTAGGGTTCCGCTCAAAAAAATGAAAACGTACCCGACGGGACGAACCCGAGCGAAACGAGAGTGAGTCGCTAGTTTCAAATAAAATCATTGTAAGTTTTCAGTATTAAATTGGCCTCAAAAAAGAACGGGTTCCTTATGGTCAAGTTCAATTGTGTCATGTATATGTGCGGAATGACGGATGTTGTATATTCGAATTTTAAAATTTAAACTCTGCTCTGTAAAGATCATAGAAACTTAAAAAAGGCAGTGATAGCCCTGTAAAACGGTGATTTCGGAAAGCGAGTGACTCCAATATTCTTTTAAGCGATTAATTTTCAACTTGATCACCACTCGCCTAGTGGTGAAGGAATACGTATTGAGGGAACCTGCTCGTGTGAGATAACAATACAATTAGAATAATACAATTAGTGCAAAAGAAAACAAATTAAAAAGGATTTACACTACCCGTAAAATCATTTTAGTTGTAATTATTCTACAATCAGGACTATTTTTTTATTATTCAAGTGAAACTTCTTTAGAATCGTTGTAATTTGAAACTCGATGAAACGGAAAAGCGGCTCGAGAAAGAGACAAACACAAATATATAAGATTAAGCCGGGGAGATAATGAGATAGAATACATTACACAGGAAGTCAAAAACAATACTGAATAATATAACATAATTATGTAATATATTATGTTAAATAAAATGTAAAATAACTTTAAAACTTGGTAAAAAAGAAACTAAACTTATAACTTACATATATTCGTATACCTAAAAATGAATATTTATTACTGTGGGATGAAAGTGCTTAATTAAATAAAAGCTATTATGAAAGTTGCCATGGTAACCGTTATTATTGTCTGACAAATATATAATATTATATACTTTCCGTATACTACAAATATATGATTGTAATATACCTTATTTACTTATTGATTTGTTTTAATTTAATTGCGATATTTGCCAAAGAAGTTTCACTTCTACCGTGACTGAATTGCATACACATACACTTAAATTTTTTTTAAAATAGGACCACCCTTAAAATATGTCTTCGTTAAATAATAGTAATTAAAATAGAATCACCATTGGCCTACATATCACGTTACATGCACACAAACAAATAAGCACCCATAGATTGAAAAGCTCACCTTCCTTTTTGAAGTCGGTAAAAAAGTCCAGGTATAATATAAAAAAGAATTTTATTATAACTGTTCTGAAATTATCGACCATAAAAATATACTTGCTATATTAATTTTAAAGTTTGATAAAAGGTATACTTCAGATATAAATTAGGCTCATTATTTAGGCTTATCCTTTTGCAAATTACACTTCTAGTGAAATCGTTTATCAGAAATACTTATTCTTATAAAATGCCAGTGATTTTAACTACCTTTCTAATTAACTGATGTAGTAGGTACCTACTACCTTCGGGTGACGATAAACTAAGGTTTAACACATAGATAGGCATTCCCCCTTTTTTCTTTAACCAAATGCATCTTTTATTTTTAAATTAAGCAAAGTAGTGTTACTAAAAATCCATTAGGTTGATTTGAACGACTATAAGTATACTATACATGTATCCTTATGCACTTTCATGTAAAATATAATTTAAGTGAGTCTTAACATTAGCAAACTTCTTTGCAACACAAAGAATTTCGTCAAAATCGGTCCAGTTGTTTCCACGTGATGCTCTAGCAAATAGATAAAATATTAAAGTCATTACTAATGTACAGACCTAATTATTTTACAGTTTTGTTATTGTTTATATGAGATAATTATGCAGATAGAGATTCCTTCATAACTTAAACCATTACTAGATGAATTGATATTACGTTTAGTTAAAGGCTTAAGTTATCCATTCCATTATTAAGATGTTGCTAATATTATATTTGGATCGGACACCTGGTGTTTATATTTTCATTAAATTCAATAAATCTTATTTGCACACACGTTGTGTGCTTTAATTTAATATACGTATGTATTCTCTTATCTTGTGTATGATGTACCTAACATTTTTTTTTAATTAAAATGTGTTTTTCAAACAGATATATTCGCTTTTACGCAGTGGAAAATTGCCCTAAGAGCGCATAAATCTTTAATAGCGACAGTTGACCTTATTCGCGACGTCGCGAGTGTCATCTGGCGGGCGGTGGGGCGGCACTCCATGTGCCTGGTACGCGCCTTCAAATCGTACGAATGTAAAAGTACAACACAAAAGTACCGTCAGAAGTTATAACAATAATTCCTTGAAAAATAATATAAATCAAATTGCACTAGTAAATTGTTTATTGCATTCTACTGAAAACCTTTGGCTCGTCACTGTGCTAAGCATAGCAGAATTTAGAATATTTAGTCTATTTTTTTTTAGATATAATATATACATAGTAGGTTATATTGTAATAGTAATACAATTATTTGCCAATTATATTAGGTGCTAATTCACAATGGTAAACCAATAATTATGTATCTTAGTATAATCTTATAGTGTTATAAGTAGATTTTGAGGATACCATATATTCTGTCAACAGTACCTTGTAATCTATTTTCGTAGGAAAATGGCTCGTTACAAAGGAGACATCGTTCCATAATGGCCTGCCATAGGACTTGCGTGACTTGCCATTTGCCAGGCTCTGCTTGTGCATTCCACCACTTCACTGAGACTCCGGCCAGCAAACTGGTTGTTGACTTCCGAAGTGACATAAAACCTACTTACTCTAATAATGTCATAAATAAAATTTTTGCTTACTAAAATGGATCCACCAGGTCCATCCACCAGTAATCAAGATCCTCGCTATGATTTTATAGGTTCATACGTTGTAAAATCTCTAAAGTTGAAACCTGAAAAATGGATGCGAGTACTAAGCGTTGAAGAACACAGATCGACACTCAAAGATTTTATAGACAAACCATATCCAATTTTGCTTGTAGTTGTTTTAACTCACGCGGCCCAATTGGTCCCCGTTATATCATTTCCATGTTATTTGAAGAACAAAGCTGTTTTCTTCGTTAAAAAGCGACCTGATGTGGTCCCTAAAGAAAAATGCGCTGAAATGGTTATTTTTGGTAAGTAATTATTATTATACCGGTCATTGGTATATAACGTATTTGTACTCTAGTCATGGGTATTTATATTTATAATATGTATGTATTTATAAAGTTATATATGTGTAGTGTATCAACTATCTGGTATCCATAACACAAGCCTCGTAGCTCGCCATGGAACTAGATAGTGCTGTGTGTTAATGTCCTAACATATTTTATTATTATCAATAAAAATCCATATAATAACAAAGTTACATTGGTAATACAGGAGACCTAGCTCCAAGGTTGATAGATGAATTGGCTGCATTAGTAGATGAAGTATTTGTGCCCCTACTTTCAAACCCTCTTAACCACGAAGGTTGGCCACTTGTTGTTTCTCAAGATATTCTTAAGCAAATACATAATCTTAAAAGCACTGTATACGAGGTAAGATTTTTATCTATTAGGATTAATAGAAATATTGATGTTATTTATATAATGTAGTAAAATGTTTATCTTAAAATATTAGAAATAAATGATTACACATATAATAACAATTATACCTATAGGTGAAAGGCAAAGTTAACGGACAAACTGTTCTACCAATGCCGGTGGGAGTTGAATTAGTTTACGAGGCTGAAAAGGGATTGTTGCGAGGAGAGGAAGTCGATTTGTATTTAAAGAGTGCTATAGAAGGAGTTGTCATTAAGTGGGCACAACAGATTAATGATGTGATGATGGAAGACTCGGCTCTTGCTTTTGAAAATGGACAGAATCCCTTGCCTTGTGTCGGTTAGATAATAATTAATTTTATTACTTAACTAGCAACTCACCCTCGATTCGCTCGGATTCATCCTTAGTAAAAAAAAACAATCTATCCCACTGGAATCGTACATTTTTCCGGGATAAAAAGTTTTCCAAATTTCATCCAGATCCATTCAACCGTTCTGGCATGGTTGAGTAACGAACATCCATTATTATTTATGTTTAATTGTGCTTTAATACCTACTTACTATACGTATTTTTATATGACAGTAAATAAGATCGATCCAGATCTATTTTTTGTATCGAAGTGCGTTAATCTGATATTATTACCTACACAATAAGGAAATAATAAAAAAAATCGAAATCTGATCAGCTTTTCTTATTAATGTGCTCGCGAAAATCTAAAACTAAACTCAATCGTAAAGAAATATAAAATTCATCTATTCGATGTCCAATTTAAACCAAATAGATATTTTTTAAACCCAATAGTTTTTAAGTAAATTCATTTGTTGTATTCCAGAACTAGCATTTTGGAAGTCCCGATTGAGCAATCTGAACTACATTTACGATCAACTGCGCACTGACAGAGTGCGATGTATGGCAGTCATACTTGAAAAAACAACTTCTGCTTATTATCCTTGCTTCAGTCGACTTTTTAAGAATATTGTTTCAGGTATAAAAACAATTTTGCTTTAGTGAATTCAATTATATAATAAATAAATACTTCACAAAGATGATTGATTCATTTGTTTAAATTTCATTTATTCCTTATAGCTCTAGCTGAAGCTCGTGAAATCGATTTGTATCTCAGGACTCTAGAAAAGCATTTTCAAGCTTTAGAAGATACCGACTTTACTGAATGCCAGCCTCTTTTCCGACCGTTATTTCACGTTATTTGTATGGTTTGGAGAGATTCAAAATACTACTGCAGCTCTTCTAAGCTCATGGTTTTAATCAAGCAAATTTGTAATTTACTAATATATCAGGTTTGTGCAGAAATTATAAAGATTAAAGTAAATATTTCAGTAAAACAATAACTATTTAGTAGTTTTTTGGTATTAGAAAATTATTCTGATGTCGAAATTAATAATAGCATTTCGTTGTAGGCGAAAAAATGTTTAGACCCAAGCACACTGTTTCACAGTGATATAGATGAGGCTCGACTACGTATTCAGCTTACGATTGATATTTTGAAAAACTTTCGAAATACTTTTGAATATTTCAAGGAAAGATTACCACAGTATTTTGTTGACAGAACAGTTATTCCTTGGACATTTCATCCAAACGTAGTTTTTGAGAGGATGAACAAGTTTCTGGATAGATTGAATACCATACAATGGTTTTTTAAAACGGTGCTAGAATTTCAAAAACTAGAGAAAATAGAAATTGGTGGTATGAAGGGACGTGTACTCGGGGGACAAATAAGAGACATATCGGCTGAATTCGATGGATATTTTCACAGTTTTGCTTCGAAATCATATGACGTTCTGGATCCTGATGACGAAACTTTCAATGATGATTTTAAAGCCTTCCAGGAAAACATTATCGATTTAGACTTCAAATTATCCACAGTCTTAGTAGAATCATTCGATAATTGTTCAACATTGGAAGGCATATTCAAGGTAATTTTTAGATAATTCTAAAACATATGTAAAGTACATTTTTTTTTTCATTTAATTGTATTTCATTTTTATTTAATTGTAATCTTGTATAATTGGTATAAATCAACATAAACAATAGGTATATTGTTTTCAGCTAATCGATATTGTAGGATCAGTTCTAGATCGACCGCTTATTAAAAATGAATTCACAGCAAAATATGTTGAAATCATTGTTATGCTTGAAGAGGAAATTATTACTTGCGAAGTAAGTATATATCGCATTATTTTTATTACATTTACGTAAGCTTATCATATTTATTTAAGAACTTTTTTCCGTATAATAGTAGTAATATAAGTAGTTTTTAATTAGAGAAATAATTGTTAGAATCTCATGAGCAGTTATATTTCTATTAGGATAATTTGCCACCCTCATAAACACAAAAAAAAACGGTAAGTTTGATAGCTCTGTTTATTTATACCGTAAGGAAATCTCAAAGCCCTTGTAGATGTTCTATTGAATCTATATGTAAATAAATTTAAACATTTAATATATTTCTGACTTAGGAGCTCTTTAAAGAGCAGGTCCATCGTCTCCATAAGTATGGTCATATGGAAATAGATGCATTCTTTCCACCTATAGCTGGAGGACTTCTTTATATGACAACCCTCGCGGCGAGAATTACTAAGCCAGTTTCATGTTTTAGAAATTTGCAACACCCGTAAGTACCTATACATTGTTACGAGTACACTGTGCCTTTACTTTAGTTAAATATTACGCACAGATTATTAAGCTTAATTATACGACACACGGCTTAAATTAAACTTACAAAATGGCCATAAAATTTAATTTCTATACAAAATATAGAATTTTTACAGTTTTAAGTTGATGTGATAATAGTCTCAAGTCGCACTAGTTTTTAAGTAAATAGGAATAATAGCAAAAGTTATCATATAATTCGTAACAGGAAACTGAAAATCAAAAATTTAAGTTAAAATTAATATATGAACATAAATAATATTTTCAGAAGTAAATGCAGGATCGAGTCGAGAGACTAGTCTTTAGTCGGCTTTCGCAATTTGCCGCACCCGTTACGCAGCTGGGTGGGGCAAATTGCGAAAGCTGATTATTTGACTTACTGTCATCTGAAAACTTTGGGATTGGTAAATTTGTATTTAATTTTTCTTTTTTTTCTTTTTACACAATTTGCAAAACAAACTTAGGACTAGGTTTTTTTTGTGTAAATAGTTGTAAGGTGTCTAATGTTAAATACTTATTCCTCTTTTGTATTGTCAAATCAAAGGACCTACTATATATATTGGTATTTTACTGTACCAGGATAAAGGAGTGTGAAGAAGCAAAAAAAATATTTATACGATACGAACAACTTATCAATGATATTAACGAATTCAAAAGAAAATACTTCGATGACTGGGCCGTCGATTTACCAAAGATTATCGAGACAAAATCACTTAACACAATATTAGGTCGCCAAGGATCTGACTTAGTGCTAAATTTTAGCCCTACAGTAAGGATTTTGTAAATTTATTATAATAACTTATTAATGCAATTAGTGCCGGATTTAACCTTAGCGCCGCTTCTAGGCAATATAAGATATGCCGCCCCATTATCGAAATTAAAGTTTTGACTAAGTTCATTTTTTTTTAATTTTTGATAAATGCAAAAAATAGTTATTTTTTTTATTATTCATTTTTTGAAAAATAAAGAAAATACAATTTCGATAACGCTAAGTTTTTTTTTATTTATCCTTCGAATTTTGCCGCCCCTGAAAATATGCTGCCCTGGGTACTAGCCCCGAGTTCCCCCAGTGTAAATCCAACGCTGAATGCAATAGTAACATTATTATTGTGCTTTGCTATTGCTACTTTAATTTCCAGCTTCTCGAACTAATGAAAGAGGTCCATCATCTAAGAAGTAATCCAGAATTTCAAAAAGATTTACCACCTGAAAGCTTAGAATTATATGGAAAACAAGAAATATACAGGCAGTATAGAATAAATCTTAATAATACAATCGATTGGTATAATCAAATACGAAAAAATAGTCAGAAAGTGGAATTTGATTTGGTAGAAGATGAAATAAAAGCCATTGATCAAAGAATTGAAATGGCACAAAATGAGCTAAACTGGAATTCTAAAGGTATATTTTTAGTAGGAGTAGTGACCGGCTTACCTTTTAAAAATATTTTTTTTAATCATAATAAGTAGGTATAAAATAAAAAAATGGGGAAGATATGATAGTATGTAAACGTTAGAAAATTATTGTAAATAATTTGTAATTTTATGTAAAATTAAAATATTAAATAAATGGTAATTTTTTATATACCACTTACTGCTAACGTTCTCGTTGCGTTTCTTTCGTCAGCTCTGATCAAGACTGAGGCTATTTCCCAACTAGTGAAAGACTCGCAATATACAGTAAAAAAACGTAGGTAATGATAATTTAATACAAAGTACTTTCATTCGCAGATGGACAAGGCATACCCTCATTTTAATTCTTATTAATTTTTTATATCATTAAAGTCGTACTATTTTACATTTAATGTATTGTAGATCTGTGGAGCTACTTAGAGGAACTCAATAGGTTGGTCGGTAATTTATTTACACGAATGTCTAAGATACAAGATAATTTAAAGGAAATGAGAAGCATTATGACCACTTGGGCAACTCAACCACTTTTTGAAAGAAAAGAGGGGAAAAAGGTATGTATAAATTATGAAAGAAAAACTTTTATGTAGCAAGAATGGAGATTTTTAATTCTTCCTCATATATTTCATTTTATTAGGATACACTGTTGAATCTAGACGAATGGCAAGAACGCACGAATAAACGCTACGGCGAAATTAATGAAACTGCTGATCGTATAAATGTTTTATTGCATGAAAATATGGAATTGTTTAATATGCAGGACAATCAGGAGAGTGAAATATGGTTATCATATGTTGCATTTATAGATGGGCTTATTGAAGAAACTTTGTTCAAATCAATTGCTTGCAGGTACTAAATAATAAATGTTTAAAACGTTACTATGAATATATATTAACATTGTCAAAATATTTAAAATATTATAGTGTTCTAAGCTCAGTATAAAATTTTATACAGTAGACCATTCTTGAACTTATGCAATATCCCACAATACGCAAATACTAATTTTTATGGCTAATGTTTTCGAAGTTATGCCCTGTAGTGTATCTTGTTGTTAATCAAAGCCGTGTTCCTACTTATAAGAGTACCTATGAGAGTTAGGAGCATCTCATCCACGTCTTACCTCGCAGGCTCCGCGTGATTGCCCTGTCTAAACGCCTTCGTTACACTATATTGATTAGTAAACTATAATTCTAATAATAATTTCTATATTCAAGATTAAAGAACCAAAGCAATTATTTATTTTTGTATTTATATTTCAGTTTGGGCTATATATCTGAACACATGAATCCTAAAAATAAACTAGCCCCACTATTTGAGGCGCAATTAGAACTTTTGGAACCAGACATGGTTTTCTGTCCAAGCCTCGATCCTAACGAAGAGAAAGGATTCACAGCTATGATAAACAACCTAATTGGGGACGTATTGAAAATGTCGTCGTTGATAACAAGAATAGATCCAAAGAAGGAGGATTCTTATGAAATGGAAATTATTACTCATGATGATATCGTCGAAATGAAGGATGACATTTTAAACGGAATCGAAAGAGTAATTGTTTGAAGTGCATGAAATATTAATGCTTTATATGACTTGAATCATTCGAAGCACATTTTATTGAATTCGCTTTTATATTACAGGTTATAGAAGAAGCAAGTGACTTTTGCAAGACTTTCGAAAATTATTCTTACTTATGGCTAGAAGAACGAGATGCTATAATGGAGATATTTTTGACTTATGGTAGAATTTTAACACCTGATGAAATTGATCGTATCGGATCTGACGATAAAGATGTGATACCACCTGTGCCGTGTGCGCCGAAAATGGAAGCCTTCAGAGAACAAATAGATCATTATGAAAATTTATTCTTAGATATAGAAGACATGGATTCTTATAAAGTATTTAATTCGTGGTTTCAGGTATTTTAATTTAACATTAGCTAAAAATTTAAACATTTTTAAAGCACAGTCTAATACGATTATTGTTTTAAGGTCGACATAAGGCCATTTCGACAAGCTCTCCTTAACACAGTTCGTAAATGGGGAAATATGTACAAGGAACACTTGGTCGAAAATGTTACTTCTAGTTTAAGTGATTTGGGAAATTTCATTCGTAAAGCTGATGAAGGTAAAATATTGCTTTATTAAATGCTAATATAAATTTTTTTACGATTAAATTGTACTATATTTTTAGTATCAGAGATTTATTGATATATCATATTTTTTTTCCATAAAGTAAAAGTATATTTTTGGGCTTTACAAATAATATGTCAATAATACTTTAAGTAGATTTTGGTTTTGATAAATGTTACCTTTAATTCAGGGATTTACTTCTGATGATATACATATATTGATAAAATATTGAGCACATGGCGTATATACGTTTAAGTTTTTTTCCCATTTAATACCATAAATACATTTTCAAGGTTTACTTCAACCTGTACCTGAGGGCAATTACGAGGCTTTGGTGTCAGTTATGGCGTACTTGATGCATGTAAAAGATCGCGCGCTGACCACTGACGATATGTTCCAACCTCTAACGGAAACGATCGAATTGCTCAAGTTTTATGATATGGATATACCCGAAGAAGTCAACGTGCTTTTACAAGTTTGTTTTATACATATATAACAGAATTAGAAATTTAACTTATAATTATTAATTATTCAATATAATATATTCAGTACCTACAAATATGTATAATTCAAAATATTTTCTTAAATATTTCATACTTTATTGTTAAACATATCGAAACATACCAAACAATTTTACAAATAAATAAATTAATTTTAAGGAATTACCTGAACAATGGCAAGCAACAAAAAAATTGGCCATCACCGTCAAACAACAAGTAGCTCCACTACAAGCGGCTGAAGTAGCTGGTATTAGGAAGAAAATCACGACATTCGACTCGCATGTCACTTATTATAGAGAAGTTTTCAAAAAATATGATGTACGTATTTATAATTTATATTTTCTTATTTTTTAGTGGAAACTAGTCCATAACCGTGGCTTCACACGCGTGAAAAATGTTTTCACGAAATTATATTTTACTGTAGTAACTACTAAACTAACTTAACTTTCTAAGTAATTTCACATTTATAACGTAGGATGGTACAAAAAAAACATATTCATACCATACTAGCGGCTCACCCTCGCTTCGCTCGGGTTCGCCTCTAGGAAAACAAATACAAACCTATTCCACGGGAACCGTAATAATCTTTCCAGGGTAAAAAGTAGCCTATGTGTTATTCTAGACTATCATCTATCTCTGTGCTAAATTTCATCCAGATCCGTTCAGCCGTTCTGGTGTGAAAGAGTAACAAACATCCATACTCACAAACTTTCACATTTATTATATTATTAGTATAGATGTTATCTAAAACCATTTGTCAAACATAAAAACGTATACAAATTTTCATGTTAATAATATTATTTTAAATAAAACTATCTTGCTTTACAAAACTTAACAGTAATCATGGTCACGTCTCTCGTGACCATGATCGCTGTAAAGCATTCGGAACGTCCGGAATCAAAAATCAAAATTAATCAAAATCCAAAAAAAAACATCCAAAAAATCCGAAAAGATACTTTTATTTAAAATGTCAAAAGTATTCATAATATTAGTAAGGATATATCTTAAACATGTAATAGATATTTTAAAGCATAAATTTTATGTTTCTAATTTTAATTTTATAAACAGTTTTTTAAATATGAATGCGATGACCCATACTTGGTGATGTCGCGTGTGGATAAAGAGATGCTGCATTTGGAAGAAGAGATGAGAAGTATACAAGAATCTGGTTCACTTTTCGAAGTGAACGTACCAGAGTTTAAATTACTCAAGCAGTGCAGGAAAGAATTGAGAATGCTCAAGGTGATTTTTTTATTTTAACTTTAATAATTTTATATTTGCCCAGCAAAGGGATGATGTGGGCTAACAGTAACAATAACAGTAATCTTTATATATATAATTCTTCTGTGAGTGTGTATGTCACTGAACTTCTCTCAAACGACTGGACCGATTTTGATGAAATTTTTGTGTGTGTTCAAGGGAATCTGGGAATGGTTTATATTCACAATTGTACACGGTAGGTGGCGCTGCTGTCGGTGTGACAAAGGGTTTGTTTTTTTTTAGTAGTTTGATCGCGGGCGAAGCCGCGGGTACAGCTAGTAAGTTTATAATAATGTATAATAACTATAATTAAATATATAATTTTGGACTTTTCATTCAGCAACTGTGGGATTACGTTTATATTGTAAGAACGAGCATTGAAGACTGGAAGACGACTCCGTGGCGTAAAATTGACGTTGAAAACATGGATATAGAATGCAAGAAATTTGCTAAAGAAATAAGGTTGTTGGATAAAGAGATGCGAAGGTAATATAACTAGAATCGCGTCGAGTTTATTTTTTTATGTATTTGACCTGTATGTGTACATACGAGTACATATGTACATGTTTTATACTAGCTTCGAGTCTTGCTACGTGCATTGTACGTCTCCGATTTAAAAATGCTGATTCTTCGTCAACTTATCTTACAAGTTCGCTTTTTTCGCAGTCGGTTTTTTAAATTATTTTGATATATTGATTAGGCTCAAAGGACCATACTTTAAGAGAAAAATGTCCCTTTATATTGCATGACTTCATTTTTTTTCAGTTGGGATACATATATTAATTTAGAAGCTACAGTGAAAAATATGTTGACGTCTCTAAGGGCTGTAGCGGAATTACAGAATCCCGCTATTAGAGAACGACATTGGGACCAACTTATGAGGACCACAAAGGTGATAGTAGAAACAGTGTACCAGATCAAAATTTTGTATATAATAATCACTTGTCTATATTTCAGTGTTAAAATAAAATTTGTAAATACATAAAAGCGTATGTATAATGCTAATGTGGTACTGCACATATTGGAATGAAAAATTGGTTTGATATGTTTTTGTCTAATGCATTTGTGCATGATTGCATCGTGTGTCGGTGTTGTTTAATTTGCTCTTCTAAACTGCCTCTTTTAAATATAAAAAAATTAAAATTGTATATATTTATTAATAAAAGAAAATATGAGGTTTGCTATTTCAAGGTGTAAATACGTTTGTGATCCACAGAGCTTAGCTGCATTGCCACCTGAACTCACCGTAAGTATGATAAATAAAAAATCTAATAAAACTTATACATATATTTAAAAAATCATCTAAATATTTACTTGTTTGTTTACTGTTAAATAAAAGAATAATTTAAAATGAATACACTAATATAAGATTGATGTTGGCACACATTATATATGTTGGATATGTGCATTGTGCATGCTTGTACAAATTATATTTATCGCAACAACACTTGCTTTTCTTATTGTAATAGCAAATACATATAAAATGAATGATCAATATTAAAATAATATCTTCCTATAAAAGTTCTATTATGTAGGTACGAATTGTCATGGACACAAACACAACGTTAGCGGACTTGTTGGCTCTAAACCTTCATGAATTTGAAGAAGAAGTTAAAAATATCGTGGATAAAGCTGTGAAGGAGATGTCAATGGAGAAAATTTTAAAAGATTTGCATACTACCTGGAGTGGGATGGAGTTTGAGCAAGAAATGCATACAAGGACGGGTTGTGTGCTGTTAAGAGCAAGTGAAGAACTTATAGAGACACTTGAAGAAAATCAGGTATCCTATACAAAAGAAAGCTTTCTGACAATATGCTTGCTATATAATAAATATTATAAGCTACGAGTATATGCTAAATAAATAGAGTTCATTTATAAATTTCAATATAGATTAATTGATTATGCGCTTTAGGTCTTTAATGCAACATTGCGTGTGTGCAAGTATATAGTACCGTAGTAATTTATGTAGTTTATATGTATAGTAAATTAGGAATATTTATCAGACGGAAAATCACACGCCACCAACCATTGATGCAATATAGAAACAGACACAATTTTTAAAACTTTATTATTATTTTCTATAATACTTAGGTACAACTGCAAAATCTAATAACTTCCAAATTCATCGCGCATTTCTTAGAAGAAGTATCGAGCTGGCAACAAAAACTATCAGTTGCTGATCAAGTGATTACAGTTTGGTTTGAAGTGCAAAGGACTTGGACGCATTTGGAGAGTATATTTATGAGTTCTGAAGACATCCGAAAGCAACTGCCGGACGATTCAGCGCGATTTGATAGAATTGATGCTGAATTTAAAGTAAAGCATGGCTCTTTAAAAATATTCATTTACTATTATCAAAAATGATAATTTATTTGTAATTGTACCTTAAAAAATGATTTCAGGTGCTATCAAAAGATATGTCAAAGACACCAAATGTAGTGAAGGGTACAAATAAAGAAGGCTTAGTCGCAATCCTAGATAGCTTGCAAAAAGATTTGATTATATGCGAGAAAGCTTTAGCGGAATATTTAGAAACTAAACGATTAGCTTTTCCGAGATTTTATTTTGTGTCATCGGCTGACCTTTTAGATATTTTATCGAATGGTAATCAAGCTGATTTAGTTATACGGTGAGATAATATATACTATGTGTATTGTACAATTTAAAAATGGATGAGTAAAATTATCATTTGCTATTTTTTAGGCATCTTACAAAATTATTTGATTCTATTGCGAAACTAAAATTTATTGAAAGTGAAAAGGCTGGTGAAAAAATGGCTTCCGGAATGATAGCCAAGGATGGTGAGCTTGTTCCATTTCACGGTCAATGTGACTGTACTGGCCCCGTAAGTAATTACTTACTAACTTTAAAGTTTAAAGTAACAATTACTTACTTTCATTCCATTTTTAGGTGGAAATATGGTTGAATCGATTACAAGACATAATGCGTTCCACCATACGCCAATATTTTGGAGAAGCAATCGTGTCGTATGAAGAAAAATCTCGTGAACAGTGGCTTTTCGATTTCATGGCACAAGTCTCTCTATGCTGTTCACAAATTTGGTGGACTTCTGAAGTAAATATTGCCTTTGGAAGATTAGAAGAGGGTTACGATAATGCCTTAAAGGATTATTATAAAAAGCAATTATCCCAACTGAGTACATTAATCACGTTACTTATTGGTGAACTCAGCAAACAAGATCGACAAAAAATCATGACAATTTGCACTATTGATGTCCACTCAAGAGATGTCGTTAGCAAATTAATACAAGGAAAAGTAGAAGCTGGTTCAGCGTTCCAATGGCAGTCTCAGCTTAGACACAGGTTTTAAAAACCTAATAATATCATCTGCACATTTTTGTACAGGTTCAGGTTCATTTACACCTTACTGTCCATTATATATATTGTTTGAAAACTTCATTTTTTGTTTTAATGTTTTCTCATTAGAATTTTGAATGCATGCTTTCTATATTTTAATATATATTACTAGCTTGCCCGCGGCTCCGCCCGCGTTCAGATGACCAAAAACCAAATTCTTAGGTTTTACATATTAGTATACTCTTACATTGCAGTTTTTGTATTTTTTCTCAGAAATGAGACATTTTCCTACGGTAAAAAGTATCCTATATGTTGACCCAGATAACCAGCTATCACCATACCAAATTTCATCAAAATCCCTGTAGTGGTTTTTCTGTGATGCGGTAACAGACAGACAAACAGACGAAAATTTCTAAAAACTATAGATTCGGCCTCGGTATGGATAATAATGTTTAATTCAATAAGGTTTTCCAAAAAATATCTAATGTATAGATTCGGCTTAGTTACAATTTTATTATATGTATAGATTGACTTGTATGTCATTTAATATTATTGTATCGTAATCCACCTCTTCAACTTTTAGATGGGATGAAAAAGAAATGCATTGTTTTGCAAATATTTGCGATGCTCAGTTCAGGTATAGCTATGAGTATTTGGGAAATACACCACGACTGGTAATAACTCCTCTTACTGATCGATGCTACATTACATTGACACAGGTAAGAATTTAAATTAAATTTTATTTGGCACTAAGATGAAAATATCATAATAATCTCCACATTTTAAGATTTTTTTAATTTAATTAACTGAATTTTCCTAGATTAATATATAGTTTTAATATTAAGTGATGGCGTGTTTTTAGTCTTTGCATTTGATCATGGGAGGAGGTCCCGCGGGACCAGCTGGTACGGGGAAAACGGAGACTACTAAAGATCTGGGTAGAGCTTTGGGTATAATGGTGTACGTATTTAATTGTTCGGAGCAAATGGATTATCAGGTAATTTAATATCGTCATATATATATAGTCATACCTTATTTATGTAGCACTAGCGACTCACCCTCGCTCCACTCGGCATCGTCTCTACTTATGTGTTAACGTTTAGTATCGATTTCTCAGAGATGTGATATTTTCCCGCAGTAAAAAGTATCCTATATGTTGACCAATATCCAACCAGCTATCATCATACCAAATTTCATTAAATCTATTAAGTGGTTTTCTCGTGATGCGTGATGTCTCTCCTAGACAGACAGACAAACAAAAATTCTAAGAACTATAGATTCTTTCTCTGTGTTTATATTATGAATGTAGTCATGACTATTTCATTGTGATTTTCCAAAAAAATATTTAATGTACACATTAAAGTATTTTGTTTTAGTCTTGTGGCAATATTTACAAAGGCTTAGCACAAACCGGCGCTTGGGGATGTTTTGATGAATTTAACAGGATTTCTGTTGAAGTACTTTCGGTTGTGGCTGTTCAAGTCAAATCTGTTCAAGACGCTATAAGGTTTGATTTTGTATACTTAATAAATTGAAAAAGAAAATGATGTCAAAATTATCGAGGGCTACTTTATGATTTATTTTATTCTGATTTATGACGAGGTTCGTTTCTTTTTAGAGATAAAAAAGAAAAATTTAATTTCATGGGCGAGATTATTGTATTGGTGCCTACAGTGGGTATATTCATTACTATGAACCCGGGTTACGCGGGTAGGACGGAATTACCTGAAAATTTGAAAGCTCTATTCAGGCCGTGTGCGATGGTTGTACCGGATTTTGAATTAATTTGTGAAATTATGTTGGTAGCGGAAGGATTTCAAGATGCAAAGATTTTAGCAAGAAAATTTATAACTTTATATACTCTATGCAAAGAATTATTGTCTAAACAAGATCATTATGATTGGGGATTAAGAGCCATTAAATCCGTTTTAGTTGTTGCTGGTTCATTAAAGGTAATTATACATATTTGATATAGTATTTAACAGAGAACGTTTATTTTAATAGATTTTTTAAATTAATACTTGCAATGTTTATATAGAGAGGTGATCCTGGCAGACCAGAAGAGGAAGTGTTAATGAGAACTTTACGTGACTTTAACATACCAAAAATAGTAACAGATGATATGCCTGTGTTTATGGGTTTGATCGGTGATTTGTTTCCTGCTCTAGAAGTGCCGAGAAAACGAGATTTGGAATTCGAAAGAACTGTCAAACAAGCTGCTATGGATCTTCTCTTACAGCCAGAAGATAATTTTATTCTAAAAGTTGTCCAATTAGAAGAATTACTTGAAGTGCGCCACTCAGTGTTTATAGTAGGTAATGCTGGTACAGGAAAAACTCAAGTTTGGAAAACCCTTTTTAAAACTTATCAAAACATGAAAAAGAAGCCCATATATAATGATTTAAATCCCAAAGCAGTAACTAACGATGAATTATTTGGCATTATTAATCCTGCAACAAGAGAATGGAAGGATGGGTTGTTTTCAGTAATCATGAGAGATCAAGCAAATATTGTTGGCGAAAATCCAAAATGGATTCTTTTAGATGGTGATATTGATCCTATGTGGATTGAGTCTCTAAATACTGTGATGGATGACAATAAAATATTGACTTTAGCAAGTAACGAAAGAATAGCACTTACACCGAGTATGAGATTGATGTTTGAAATTTCTAATTTACGTACTGCGACTCCTGCTACTGTATCTAGAGCTGGTATTTTATATATTAATCCACAAGATTTAGGGTGGAATCCGTAAGTGTTTTTTTCACCACTAGATATCATAATAAATATTCATTATTAAATTTTTATATAAATGTATTTAAATACATCTATTTCAGTTATGTAACGAGTTGGGTTGAAACTAGAAAAATACCAGCAGAGAAATCGAATTTAGTCATTCTCTTCGACAAGTACATACCTCCTTGCTTAGAAAATATTAGAAACAGATTCAAGAAAATAACACCAATAGCAGATATGGCTCATATACAAATGCTTTGTCATTTGCTCAGTTGTTTATTGGTCCCCGAGAATACGCCCCCTGACTGTCCGAAAGACTGGCATGACATTTTTTTTGTATTTGCCTGTGTTTGGGCGTTCGGATCTGCCATGTTTCAAGATACTAATGTGGATTATAGGATTGGTGGGCAATTTGAATCATTAGCCTTACAATTAGAGTTTTTTTTTTACCGAAGTATTATATATTTTTTTGTGTACTTATACTTACTTACTTTCACTTTGAGTGGTGGCGCTATTGTTAAGACCCAGTTTTTAATTTTATTTTTTGATCAAACGAGGACTGCTGGATAACGTCTGCCTACCAAATTCGACTATATCCGTAGTATTACTTTAAGCATATATCTATATAGCTTTAGATATCGATATTTTTAGTGTACACCTAAATAAAGAAATTTATTTATATCTTAATTTTAATTTAACTTTAATTACATATAATTTTTAAGTAGTATTATTTTTACAGAATTTTCAAAATGGTGGCTCAATGAGTTTAAATATGTCAAATTTCCAACGGGAGGAACAGTATTTGACTATTATATTGATCCTGAAACTAAACAATTTACGCCATGGACTGAAAAGATAACTAAATTCGAGTTGGACAGTGACATTCCGCTACAAGTAAATGCTCAAATTGAAAAGATAAAATATATAATAGCATTTTAACTAAATTTATTACGATTAATTAATAAATAAAAAACTATTTTTAATTGTAGGCTGTACTTGTACCTACGGCTGAAACAATTAGAGTAAGATTTTTCTTAGATTTACTAATGAAAAATAAACATCCAGTTATGTTAGTCGGTAGTGCTGGTTGTGGGAAAACTGTACTTGTGAATGAAAAACTTCAAAGGTAAATATTATTTAAAGAATATTTTTAATTAAATTAAACACCTCCATTAATTATTATTTTTTCAGTTTATCAGAAAACTATGCGATTCAATCGGTTCCCTTTAACTTTTACACAACGTCGGAAATGTTGCAAAAGATTTTGGAAAAACCATTAGAAAAGAAGGCTGGTCGCAATTATGGTCCGCCTGGAAATAAAACGCTTATATATTTCATAGATGACATGAATATGCCCGAGGTAGATCCTTATGGAACTGTCCAGCCTCATACAATTATTCGGCAACATTTAGATTATAATCATTGGTACGATCGAACTAAATTGACTCTAAAAGACATACACAATACGCAATACGTGTCATGTATGAACCCCACATCTGGCAGTTTCACAATAAATCCAAGATTGCAAAGACATTTTTGTGTGTTTGCAATAAGTTTCCCAAATACAGATGCTTTGAACAATATCTACCATTCAATCTTGAGTCAGCATTTGGTCAACCCGGAACTAAGGATTGGCGCACAAATTGCAAAGATCTCGAGTAAGTAGTACTTTTTATTCATGGAAATGTAAGTACTTAAAATGCCTTAAATAGCTACCTACGCTAGAGACTTTTAGTCAACTTTTCTTGCTACCGTAAATTGTATACATTTGGAATGTATTTTACAATTTTTTTTAAGGAATTTTAAATATTTTTTTCTGAATTTTAAATGTTTTATAAATGCCCTAAAAATATTTACATATATATGACACCATTTGCAGAAAATGTAGTCACAGCTACAATAGCCCTACATAATAAAGTTTCGCAAGTGTTTTTGCCGACTGCCATCAAGTTCCATTACATTTTTAATTTAAGAGATTTGTCCAATGTATTTCAGGTAAGTATTTAAATGGTTTTAGTCGATCGTAAAGAAGTAAAACATTAAAGTACTATTTTACAATTGTTTTTTGTAGGGTTTCTTATTTAGTACAAATGAATGTTTAGTGTATCCATCTGATTTGATACGTCTTTGGCTTCACGAAACTCACAGAGTCTATGGCGATAAGCTGACTGAAGATAAGGATATTGATGCTTTTCTGAAAATGCAAGTTGATCTTTGCAAGAAAAATTTTGAGGTAAATAATATGTATAACGTTCTTATAAAAAATAATAATATTATTATCTTAATATATAACATAGATGAAGCCTGACTTGTGATAGGAAATGGTTTATACTTTATAATAATCTTGTATATATCATCGAGTAATTTTTAATAAACGTCTCTCATCATAGCGTCGGACTGTATGAACATTACTGCGTATATGGAAGTACAGGAGTTCGATTCCTGTACAGGTGGCTATTTGTTGTTAAAACATCTAATATATACTTACTAGGATATTGATGAAGGGGCGGTATTTGAGCGGCCGAACATTTACTGTCATTTTGCTGGAGGTATCGGTGAACCTAAGTACATGCCGGTAGCTAGCTGGGAGCAGTTAAACAAACTATTGACTGAAGCGCTGTCCAGTTATAATGATCTTATTGCTGCTATGAATCTCGTGCTATTTGAAGATGCTATGATGCATATATGCAGGTACGTTTGATTTCTTAAGAAAATAATCGTTTTTTATTTACAACCGTTTTCCATATTAATAAAGTTCAGACTGGGAAGATTTTACTATAATAAAAAATATATGTATAATAAAGCTATGTAAAATGTGGAGTTCGAATGATAAAATAGAATGGTTGATATCAAGATGATGGATGCGAGTAGTGGCTAGTGGTACTTATCTATGGCTACTAATAAAACTTTTTAGCTTGGGCTTATTTGATTTATTGCTTCTAATCTTAAATATAATAGTTCGCCAATGTCGTATTTAGATTGGCGCTAAGATTACAAGTTTTACTTATGACTTTAATTTAAGGATAAGTCGTATCTTAGAAAGTCCAAGAGGCAGTGCTTTACTAGTAGGCGTGGGGGGTTCTGGTAAACAATCGTTATCCCGGCTGGCAGCTTTTATATCGAGTTTAGAAGTGGCACAGATACAATTAAAAAAAGGATATGGAGTTGGTGATCTAAAGGTGAAGATCGTTTTTTTTCTCTCTTCTACTTACAGCAATCTGTTACAATTAATCTGTTTTACTTACAACGCATGAATTAAAGAATGTTATGTTATAATAATAAATAGTAAAACTTAGTATCTTATATTTGCACCTTGTATAACTTAATTAGCGCTTAAATAAAACCAGTTGAAATATCGGATCGTCTAATGTAAAGTACTTAGATTGTAGGTACGTCTGAAAATTAAATATTTATTTCAGCACGAACTTTCTGGTCTTTACATTAAAACTGGTCTTAAGAATGTTGGAATAATGTTTCTTATGACGGATGCACAAGTGGCCAATGAACAGTTTTTAGTATTGATTAATGACTTGCTAGCGTCTGGCGAAGTTGGAGATCTCTTCCCTGACGATGATATAGAAAATATCATCGCTGGTGTAAGAAATGAGGTATGTGGACATTAGATTTTATGATATATATTTTTGATGATAAGACTAGATTAATATAAGATGGCTGCTAAATGGTTAAAGATATAAATAAAAGTTTGCTGCAGCTGTTTTAAGTGATGAACGAAGGTTTTTCAAAAATATAAATTTTGTTTGAAAACTGCCACGAGATTACTAAAATATGTATCATAAAAATATGAATGATGCTTCTTGATTAATTTTAATAGAGTTCCGTAACACAGTGATAACTTTTTTCTTATTTAGGTTAAAGGGGCAGGTTTGCCTGACACTAGAGAAATTTGTTGGAAATTCTTCATAGATCGTGTTCGTAAACAATTAAAAGTTGTTTTATGTTTCTCCCCTGTTGGATCGACTCTTCGAGTGAGATCTAGAAAGTTCCCGGCTTTAATCAACTGTACGTCCATTAACTGGTTTCACGAATGGCCTCAGGAAGCCTTAGTTTCAGTTTCAATGAGATTTTTGGAAGAACTACTTGTGTTGCCCGTGAGTACAAATTTTGTGTAATATGGTTTTATATGTTTTCTTTATTTTGTGCTCTTTTGTAATATGTGCTAGTTTGAACTGTTAAGTATGTGTAATTTTGTTAAGATATACATATCTCCTTATAATTACAATTCAATATTTCAATATTTATTGTTTAATTTTAGATCACTCTGCGTGATTCAGTATCCAGATTTATGGCCTACGTACATACATCAGTTAACACAATATCAAAGGCATATTTAGCAAATGAAAGAAGATATAATTACACTACACCCAAAAGTTATTTGGAACAAATAAGCTTATATGCAAAATTGGTTAATCAGAAGACTGATGAGTTACGCGCTAAAATCGTTAGGTAGGTCAATATAGACGTACGCGACCCATTTTGTTTATTTCGTTCCAGTTTGTATTGAATTGTTTTTACTCTTTGATCATAAAATATTTTTTATCCGGCAAGCCTATGTCTGAAGTACGATCTTTATAATATCTTAGTACTATTATTTCGCAATCAATTAATATGACGGCTTTATACAGGAGCATGTAGAATGTGTGAAATAGATCTTTGGCAGGCCTATTTGACCGATTAGAATAATTATGATTGTTTCAGATTGGAAAATGGTTTAGAGAAGTTAAGAGGCACAGCATCCCAAGTAGATGAACTTAAAGCGAAGTTGGCATTACAAGAAATAGAGTTACAACAGAAGAATGAAGCAGCTGACAAGCTTATTGAAATGGTTGGAGTTGAGACTGCTAAAGTACAAAGCGAAAAAGCGTTAGGTATGATCATTTTGGAAATATTTCAAATTTTAGTTTTGAGCCAGACTGATTATTATTATATAACAATATATATTTTTTATAAAAGGAAAGTTTCTGGAGTTAGAGTTCAAAAAAAAATCCTTTATAAAATAATAGTTTTTTTTAAATATTAAAAACATTCAAACTTAAGAAATACTGTCACGTACACTGGACTATAGTTTAGTTTAGTCTTTCAAAGTTGCCAAGAAGCCTCACCTCAGCCTTTCTCTATATGTACAACTGTACGGAAGAGTAGAGTTTTATAGTATTGTTGTTACATATTGTGTTATAATCAAATACATAATTTGAATAAATAGCCGATGAGGAAGAAGAAAAAGTAGCAGTTATAGCTGAAGAAGTATCAAAAAAGCAGAAGGACTGTGAGGAAGATTTAATTAAAGCAGAGCCAGCACTAGTCGCCGCTCAGGAGGCGTTGAACACTTTAAATAAAGCTAATCTGACAGAGTTAAAGTCGTTCGGATCTCCTCCCGGGGCCGTGACCAATGTGACTGCCGCCGTCATGGTGTTGTTGGCGCCCGGTGGCAAGATACCCAAGGATAGAAGTTGGAAATCTGCTAAAGTATGTATAAATTATGGTGATTGATTTGTATTTGTATGTATGTGTGTGTGTTCGTATGTATGTTTGGTTTACTGGATTCGACGATGCTTAAGTACGAGTATTATCTAAGCAAAGTACTTGTGATTTTATACCCTCACCTTTTTGTATAAGATTTTTCCCCAAAAATTATTATGACATTAAGATATTTTTCAAAATGTTATTAAATTATATGAAAAATTTATTAAGCGTGCAAATTGTTTTTCTTATAATACTTTCTCAGATTTACGCGAATATTTAACATTTTAAATAAAACTATCTTTTCTGCGAGACTGAATCTCTCCCATGACTATGATTGCTGTAAAGCATTCGAAACAATACAATAAAATTATTTTTTTAATTTTATTATCTGACGTAAGATTTATGATCCTCCCCCAATCTCATTGCTAGTAAAAAAAATAAAAACTTTATAAAAAAAACTTAAACTCCCCCTTTCTATAATAACTTTCCTTTTTGTTTTGATATTTTATATTTTAATAATATTACTTTTTAAATTCAATTATATCATTGGTTTACGTTGTAGATGACGATGGCCAAAGTGGATGTATTTTTGGAGGCTCTTATTAATTACGATAAAGAAAATATTCATCCGGATGTCATCAAAGCTATACAACCTTATCTGAAGGATTCGGAGTTTGAACCAGGTAATTTTGATTTTTTTTCGTTGGTTTATTTATCGTTGTTTACGTTTTAAAACTATTTTTATGTTTAACTTAAATGCGAGTGATGATTGCTCGTTTGCTATAAAGAAACAAGAATTGCTAATTTATGTGTTATAATAACTTTGTGTAGGCCGTAACGGTACTTTAATAAAAGTAGTGGACTGTATATAAAGTACGTATAATCAAATTAAGAGTTTGGGGAAGTGTCCGTAGTCCAGCGCGCAGGTAGGCGAAGTGGCGCGATCAGATGCGCTCGCGGTCGGGGAGGGTCCCCCGCCCGCGCAGCTCATACGTCACGCGCCCGGTAAGAGGGAGACGCGCCGACATATTCCCCGGGTTGAAGAGATCTTCAAGATTCAATCGGAAGAGGGCAGATGCAGTTGAAGGCACGACGCACGGTACCCTTCTTCGTCTTCATCTCAGCTACTCGCGTGACTCCGTCGACGCCGGGATAGGTCTTCGTGACCCGACCCAGGGACCAGAGCAACGGTGGTGTAGCTTTATCCTTGATGAGGACCAGGGATCCAGGCTTCACTTCCCCTCTGGAATCAAACCATTTCGATTTGGCCTGTAGTAATGAAATGTACTCATTATGGAATCTCCTCCAAAAGTGCTGTCGGATGAATTGGATTCTTTTCCATCGGTCGAGCCTCGTTATATTGGCATTAGTCAGCAGGGGGTAAGGAACAGATAAGAGTGGTCGTCCAATTAGGAAATGAGAGGGAGTAAGTGCCGAAAAATCTTTAGGGTCTGATGAAAGAGGAGTAAGAGGGCGCGAATTCAAGACCGCCTCTATATGAGTGAGACAGGTGGCCATCTCCTCAAACGTAAAATGGGTTAAATGCAATAATCTTTTTAAATGATGTTTGCACGATTTAACAGCAGCTTCAGCTAGTGAATTAAAGTGGGGGCTATATGCTGGCGTGAAATTAAATTCGATACCCTCCTGAGCTATCTCAGATGCAACATTAGACGATCGTAAAAACCTAAGTAAGTCATTTGATGCGCCTACGAAATTCGTCCCGTTATCGGACGTGATGCTTCGAGGCTTGCCTCGACGCGCCACGAAACGATTTAAAGCAGCCATGTACGCGTCGGTGGTGAGGTCGGAGACGAGTTCCAAATGTACAGCTTTCACTGCTGAGCAAACAAAGATGCACATATATGATTTTATGAGTTTGCTGCCGCGACCTTTCCGATCGGCGATCAATACTGGCCCTGCGTAGTCAACATAACAATATAAAAATGGAAATTCAAGATGAGTCCTTGAATGTGGAAGTTGACCCATTATAGGCTGAACATTTTGAGCCTTGTATCTGAAACATTTAAGACACTTGTTCACGACAAGTCTAGATAAGTTTCTACCTCCTAGGGGCCAATATGTTTGTCTTATATGTGACAAAAGCAATTGCGGACCTGCATGTAAAAGTTTTAAATGTTGCATTTGAAATATAAGTTTAGTTAATATATGTTTGCTACAAATTACAATGGGATGTTTCACACTAAAATCGTAGGGGGAATTATCAAGCCTCCCGCCCACGCGAATGAGGTTTTGATCGTCTATGAACGGAGTTAACGGAAGCAATTTACTTTTGCGAGGCAATTTTTTACCAGACTTTAAGAGACTATATTCTTCAGGAAACATTTCAAGTTGTGAATAATGTATAATCAAGTTTAATGAATTTTGTAGTTCTGTAGTAGAAAGACTACCACGTAATTTAATTTTATTTTTTAAGTTGTAAATAAATCTTTGTACATAAGTAATTATAATTTTAATTTTTGTTAAGCTAGAATGTTTTTGTAATAAATTATGAATGATAGATGAATTAATGTTTATGTCTGAATTATGAATGACGTATGAATGATTGTTTTCGCTACTATCACTACTAATGAAATTAGATACTACTTCCGGCAAATCGTGTTTCTCTGTATTTGGCATTTTGGGCCATGCATTTTCAACATGAAATAAAAAGGAGGGACCAGACCACCATAGAGGTGTGTCCTTAATTACGTCGGCCCGAAGACCACGGGAAACAAGATCCGCCGGGTTGTCATTCGACGGTACGTAGCTCCAGGTATGACCACACGTGCTCTCTTGAATCTCATGGACTCTATTCCTAACAAAAGGTTTTAATTGTTTAGAAGGAGTGGAGAGCCAACCCAATACTATTGTAGAGTCACACCAGAATCTACAGTTATGAATTGGTATGGTAAGCGATTCTAGCACCTTAGTATACAGTCTTGCACCCAACAAAGCCCCACAAAGTTCAAGCCTTGGAATCGTCGTAGGTTTTATGGGCGCTACACGGTTTTTAGAGACTAAAAGGTGTACCCCTGTGGTTCCAATACTATTACAGGAACGAATGTACACACAAGCGCCATACGCTTTTTCGGAGGCATCTGTAAAGACGTGTACTTCGTGCATAATAGAGTCTTCATGCAAAACCCAACGAGGTATTTTTAAATGATTTAAAGATGTAATTGTATTTTCATACGTAGACCAAAGGTTTTTAATTTCGACCGCTATTTCGTCGTCCCAGTCATATTTATCAAGCCAAAGACGCTGCATGATAATTTTTGCTTCGACAACGCAAGGACCTACGAGGCCTAATGGGTCAAAGATCTGACTGATGACAGAGAGGACATGGCGTTTAGTGATCTTAGTTGAAGGCGTAATGTTAATAGAGTATGTAAGTAAATCTAAATCACATACCCAATTAAGCCCTAGAGTTTTAGACTGACTGAAATGTTGACTTTGCTCTGTAAACTGTAAAATATTATTTGTTTCATTGCATTGTGTAATTTGCTTAAGAATATCTGGATGATTGGATCGCCATTTACGCAAGTTAAATTTAGCAAGAGACAGAACCGATTGTACCTTTTTTGAAATTTCGACAGTCTGGGCTATGGTACTTCCCCCACTTAGATAGTCGTCTACGTAAAAATCTCGCCTTATAGCGGATTGAACACGATTATCCTCTACATCATCAGCCAAACTTACTAAGCACTTAGTGGCTAAATAGGGAGCAGATGCGGTACCATAAGTGACCGTATTTAAAGTATAGGTATTTAGAGGCTCTGATGAATCATATCGGAAAACGATTTTTTGAAGATTTCGTTGGTTTGGATTAAGTTCTATGGCTCTGTACATTTTTTCTACGTCACCTGAGACCACATATTTATGCTGACGAAAACGTGTTAATATGCTAAACAGATCGTCTTGAACTACGGGACCGACCATTTGAATGTCGTTAAGAGACACCCCCGTACTAGTAGGGGCTGATGCGTCGAATACTACGCGTAGTTGTGTAGTGGTGCTAGAGGTGCGAACTATTCCATGATGTGGAATGTAATGTTTAACCTCCGAGTCTTCAGAGATGGAAACATGGTCAGAAAAAGTATCTAGTGACATATGACCTAGACATTCATATTCACGCATGAACTCGTTGTATTTAAGTTTGAACGAAGGATCACGTTTGAATCGCCGCTCTAGAGATAAAAACCGTTTTTTCGCGTTTTCATATGAATAACCTAGAGTGCTAAGATCCCCCTTTAAAGGCATAGTAACAACGAACCCACCATCAATGTTACGGACGGTGGTTTGAACAAATATTTGTTCACACATTCGTTCTTCAAGAGAGTGCGAATGTTTTAATGAGACATTGTCAAGCTCCCAAAATCGAGTTAAGTCGGGAGTGACGCTGGAATGGTGGCAAAAATGGGAAAAAGAAGAACTTTGGTTCGAAATGCTACCTGAAACTAGCCATCCAAATTTAGTTTCAAATAATTTAGGTCGATTTTTTCCTAAGTTTATGGAGTTTTTGCCTAACACACTCCAAAATATTTCAGCCCCTACCAGGATGTCTACAACCGACGGAACGTTAAAGTTCGGGTCTGCTAACTTAAGACCTGAAGGAATAGGGACATGTTCGATGTTCACGTATGAAGACGGTAAAAACTTTGTAATTTCAGGCAAAATATGACACTCGACATCGACAGTAAAGGCACAGCATAAAGACTCTATTGTGAGGTGACAAGACTGTGTACTGGTGGATATGTGATTATTTAAACCTGTTACCTTGGTGCTCGCACCGCTTAATGACAAACCCAGTTTCTCTGATAAGCTTTGCGTTATAAAATTCGCCGTACTACCGTTGTCCAGCAATAGACGGGCTGCGTACTTCTTACCGGTCGCGCTGATCACGTTCACCATAGCTGTGGACAGTAAAACATGCGCAGAAGTAGCAAGCTGCATAGAAGTAGCTGATAGCATAACATTTGATGCGGAAGGCGAAGCAGAAAGCCATGGTTTGGAAGATTGTTTGGGTTCAGTAGATTCTAAATGCAATAAAGTATTATGTTTTGTTTTGCAATATTTACAATGAGATAGTTTGCATTGCTTAGCAGTATGTCCAAAGCGTAAGCAGTTAAGACAAACATTATAATCATTAGCTTTTTTAATGCGATTTTCAATTGATAAGATTCTGAAAGATTCACATTTATACAACGAATGAGATTGGGAGCAATGAGGACATTTAATAAAGTTATTATAATTATTGTTTTTAGATTTTTTATTAATTTGAGTAGTGTTTAAGTTTACCTGATTATTATTTAATGCATTAATATTACAAGGATTAGAATTATTACTTGAGTTAGCATCAGGTTCAACGGATACTAACCAGTCTGCTTTCCTACTTAAAAATGAACAAAATTGTTTTAAGGTAGGATCATCCTTAATTGTAAGACTCCTATGTTCTTCCCAGTCACGACTAGTAATAAAGTCTAATTTTTTAACTAAAATGTGTAAAAGCAATGTGTCCCAAAATTGAACGGGCTGTTTAAGTTTTGTTAATGCTCTTACATTTTTGTTTATAACGTCTACTAAATTTCTAATAGGGATGCTCGATTGTTTCAATATTGGCTCGATATCAAAAAAAGCTTGGATATGATTGCTTATAAGAATGCGACTATTGTTATACCTCTCACATAACAACTCCCATGCAATAGTATAATGGTCACCCCTAAAATCAATATTTTCAATAATAAGAGCTGCACTTCCGTGCAATGAAGCTCGTAAATAATGAAATTTAGTGATGTCATTTATACTCGCGTTGTTGTGAACTAGTGACGTAAATGTTTCTCTAAACTCGAGCCAGCATTGATAGTTCCCATCGAAATGAGGCAAATCTATTTTTAGGCAAACGAACAAAATTGGAAGTATGTGCACCTGAGTCAGCATCTTTGAAGCCCGCCTCAGACCCAGCACCGTTGAACGAAACGCCGAGCAGGCTGCGCGTGAGTGCCACCAGGCTAAAGAACTGGCGATCAAAGTCCTCACGCTCAGTTAACGCAGACTCGTCGTCGTCAGCGAGCACCTCGATCTGAGTCTGTAAATCGTCGAAAGTATCATAAAGGGTTTCGAATTTAATCAAACGCTCTTGTAAGTCTGAGCGTTGCAATGCAGAAATCTCTGGGCTACTTTTAATTAAATTTAAATAATTATTAAAAACAGTGACCTTTGATTTTATTGAGCTACGTTTTTTAATCAATGTTTTATAATTATCTGCCATTTTAAATAAATAAGTTAAATGCAAACGCTAATGACTTACGTATAAAAAATAAAAACTAAAGAAACAGATGTGCGAGAACAATAGGCCCGATAAGCTAATGACTCGGTCAAGGTCAAGAACGACACCTGCGTATTACGTAGTTATTAGCAATTTAAATAGTTAAGAATTAACGTATTTGTTCTAAAGCTGTGCATATGAATAATGACGTGGAAGATTTAAAAATGATTTTTGGCATAAAAAGAAAATAGGAATAACTAATTGGAACAAACACACTCAAATACTGTTATAATACTCCCTGAATGACTTCAGCCTCCTTTGAATGACGCTGCAGGCGGCTACGGCAACGACTTCTTTTTTCTTTGTTTGAAAAATGTGCTTGTCACCTTGTCACCTTGTCACGGTCAAAGTACAACCGTTGACCGCGCTGACGTCGACGACTTGATTTTCGTAGGAATCAACGTTTTGCTCGTAGGACCACAACTTTGTGTAGGCCGTAACGGTACTTTAATAAAAGTAGTGGACTGTATATAAAGTACGTATAATCAAATTAAGAGTTTGGGGAAGTGTCCGTAGTCCAGCGCGCAGGTAGGCGAAGTGGCGCGATCAGATGCGCTCGCGGTCGGGGAGGGTCCCCCGCCCGCGCAGCTCATACGTCACGCGCCCGGTAAGAGGGAGACGCGCCGACATATTTAATGTTCGAACATAATAATTTGAATTAATTTCCAAATTTTAATATCGAAAGTGTTCGGCGAACACTTTCGATATTAAAAAATCGAAAAATCAGTATTTTGACGACAACTGCATTTAATAGCTTTAAAATCAAAGGGCAATTGCCTACTGTATGCATTTTTATACTGTGGTAATACTGACCCCTAATTAGATTAATTTTACAATATGTTTAATTCTAAATATTATTTTAAAGAGTTTGTTAGATCAAAGTCAGCAGCCGCAGCGGGTTTATGTGCATGGGTCATCAACATAATTAAGTTCTACGAAGTGTTCTGTGACGTCGAGCCCAAGAGGAAAGCTCTGGCCGCCGCCAACGCTGAGCTCGCGGCCGCCACCGAGAAGCTGAAATCTATCAAGTCTAAAGTTGCGGTGAGTTTGGTTTAGTCGTTTAAATGGTTAGTTCTCGTAATATCGGAAACGGCTTTAACGATTTGGATCAAATTTTGTACTTAGATTAGGTTTTGCTTTTAAGTGTCTTTTGTGAAAAAAAAGGTATTTTTAAACCTTTTTCTAAAAACACCGAGCGCAGGTCGGTCGCAGATAGATTTATATAAGATAGATATTGACTATTTCTTACAAGGATTGGTTTTTTTTTCAGAGCTTGTGGTAATTTTTAAATTGCACTAATTGGAATAAAATATTTCACTTTAATTTTTTTTTCTAAGCATTTATTATTTTTGTTTGAATAATTTAAGGGTTTTTACCGATCACTTTCTCTCATGTCTTCTAAATTCTACGTGATATTTGCAAAATAATCTGTGCTCATCTGGCTCGTTATGAAGCCACTACACAAGAGGATTGAATTGAAATTTAGTGATAGAAAATACATATAGCTGCTAGAATTATTTCTTGTCTATTTTTTCGAAGAAGTTTTTGACTAACTTTTGATTTGTTTTTAAATTTTGTTTACATTCTGTATTACCATTAAAAATATCATTTCTCAAAGCACAATGCCATATAATTTTTTTAATTGTAATAATATAGAATTTTTATACAATCCATTCTATTTCAGTCCTTAGAAGAACAATTGGCAACCTTGACAGCCGATTTCGAAAAGGCAACAGCAGAGAAATTGAAGTGTCAACAAGAGGCGGACGCTACTAACAGGACCATTCAGTTGGCGAATCGTTTGGTTAATGGGCTAGCGAGTGAAAACGTTAGATGGGCAGAGGCTGTTTCTATGTTTGTACATAATTTAATAATATTATTTTTACATTAAAACAAGTTATTCAATTATTTGGGGTGGTATATTTTTAAAAGACAAAAAAAGGGGGAGGTTTTTAATTCGACAAGTATATAATTTTTATGTTTGACCACGCATTACTTGTTTACAGTGTAGTCCGATTTCGATTTTTCTTTTCTTATAAAAAAAAAAAACTTATTATAACTCATAAAAAAATTTATTATTAATCGAGATCTAGGAAAAAAAATATCAGAAAAATATATGATCAATATTTCAGAAACATTTAATTTTAATATTGTGCATTATTGTTATTAAAAGTGAAGAAAATATCTGTAATAGAGTCGGAGTTACAAGTGATTCTGTTTTCAGTTTCATGCAACAAAGCACAACATTACCAGGGGATGTGCTTCTCGTCTGTGCGTTTATATCGTACGTTGGGTGTTTCACCAAAATATATAGACTGGATTTGTTACACAAAAATTGGCTAGTCTTCATGAAAACCTTAGAGGTACGTATGTACGCGATTTTTGGTCTTAATGTGCTTTATTTCCTCATTCTTCTTCTTCTTCTTCTTCTAACACGGCTTTTTCCGCACTTGGGCATCTTTGCCCGTTTTGCGTGAGCTTGTACTGCTGTGTGTGTTATTCTTTCCATCCCAGAGCGTCCCAGTAGTCTAGCAGGCTGCCGGTATCCTGGAAGATTTCTGGGATCATTCTGTGAACATTGGGAATGTAACGATTCGAAAGTATGTGACAAGTCTAATAAATAATAACAATCTTGGATAGTTATTAAGAGGTCCTGGAATCGGACCAAAATAGTTACTGGTTTTCTTTTGTCATAAAATACTCAGCTCGAAGTTATGGGAATACAGGGATACATCCCATACGCATTGCACCCCGTGACTTAGAGAGCAAGTTTAGCTGTAGCTGTAAAGGAATAAAGTACGCTGTACTGTTATATGTCCTTTGCAGAAATTGGTTAAGAGGACTTTACTTGCACTCAGACAAAGCTATTATATTAAGTTACTAGCGACTCACCCTCGCTTTGCTCGGGTTTGTCCCTAGCTTGATGCCTAATACAAATTTCATCCCCATTTTCACTCCATTAAAGGATGATTTCGATAAAAAGTATTCTATGTCCTTCCCAGGTCACAAACTATCTTTTTATTAAATTTTATCTAAATCGGTTCAGTAGATCCAGAGGTTACCCCCTCTACATCGTCACAAACTCACAAACTTTACTTCTTTATAATATTCGTATAGATAAAGTCAATAAACGGTATTTCTAACGTATTTTAGCCTCCGATACCGATAACAGAGGGTCTAGACCCACTTTCGATGCTAACAGACGACACTACCATAGCGATGTGGCACAACGAGGGCCTGCCCTCAGACCGCATGAGCACTGAGAATGCAACGATACTCTCCAATTCAGTTAGATGGCCGCTAATGATTGATCCGCAGGTTTGTTGTTATTTTAGTTAGAAAATGGTAATTAGATCTCCGTATTAGTGAAATTAAAGTAGCAATTACACTAACATAAGGAATGGTGCTAATGGTAATGGAAAGTTATCTGAATATTTGGAAAGTATTAAATACAATTTAAAGTAAAATCCTCTCTTCGGATTATTTATTTTGTTTTTTTGGTTCCCGACGTTTTGAATGCTTTACAGCAATCATGGTCACGGGAGAGACTAAGGTTATAGACGTCTCAAACACATATACTTGTTAGAGACAGTGCCTACCCACTATTTCACAAAAATGATTTCAAAAATTCAAAAATTGCAAAAATACCTTACAATATTTGTTGATTTTTATTTCTAAAATTTTTTTTTAATAAGTGTTATAATTAAATATAGCAATATTATATTTATTTAATTTTAGCTGTTATTATTATAAACTAGCGGCTCACCCTCGCTTCGCTCGGGTTCGTCGCTAGGTACGTTTTAAATAGATATAAAAAGAAAAAATCTTTCTTTCTCACATTTTAATTATATGTTTTAATACTTACCTATTCCGGACTAAGAGAAATCCAAAAATTAAAATATCATAAAAATTGGAACGCGGTCGAACGGGATAAAAAGTATCCTATGTCCTTCTCCTGGCTCTAAACTACCTCCCTGCCAATTTTCAGCTAAATCGGTTCAGCCGTTCTTGAGTTATAAGCGAAGTAACTAACACGACTTTCTTTTATATATATAGATATTACAATTTTTAAAAAAACTTTATTATTTACTAATATTATTTAGTGTTGCTAATTGCTATTATTATATTATGTATAACCGCTATATAATATATGTATTCTTTAGAATATTAAAAATTAAAAAAATATATTAATTGTTTATCTAAGCAATATTTTTTTTTTATATGTAATTTAAAAGAAGTTAATTCCTGCACGACCGCGGACACGCCGGCGTGTCAGTTAACAATAGATTTCTTAGAATTGTAATTAATTTCTTAGTTTACCTGGAGGTGTTAGAATATTAATTGAAAAAAATGAATCAGCAAAATAATCCGAAAAGACAGTTTTATTTAAAATGTCAAATCTTCGCATAAATCTACGAAAGTAATATTACAATTTAAAGAATTATTTTTACTCCACTATTTTCCTGGCTGATTTAGGTTCGTCCGTAGGTACCTTTTGACACTTAGTATGGGCTAGATTTTTTTCATATTTTTTTTCCTTAAATTTTTCCGATATTTTAATAGTTATTCTGCTATTCGGGTTGAGGACATATCCATCAAAACATAGATCATAAAAATCGGTCAAGCAGTTCCCGAATTATAAATGTAACAAACCCGACTTATAAATATAACATAATCAATTGTGGATTTCTAATATATTTTTTTAAACTGATATTACTACTTTTACTTCTTAGGAAGTACGAATATAAAATATTTATCCCACTTTTTTGTAGCTTCAAGGTGTAAAATGGATAAAACAAAAATACGATGATATTCTAAAAGTGATTCGTTTAGGACAAAAAGGATATTTAGATACAATAGAAAAAGCTATCATCAAAGGCGAAACAGTGCTGTTGGAAAATATAGGAGAAACTGTAGATCCAGTATTAGACCCGCTACTTGGACGGAATTTAATTAAGAAGGGAAGGCAAGTATATTGACATCTACATCATATATGTATGAATTTAATCACTTGAGAATGACTAGACCGATTTAGTTATTTTTTCTCACGAAATTATTCCTGATAGCCCTGTTAAGTTTTTAGAGGAAAAATTGGAAAAGTTACCCGGAAAATAAGGAAAGTCGGGATAGACTAGAAGTACTATTTTTCATAATAATACTTATCCCATGCATTTATGCATTTCTCTTATACAAAATTAATTTTAATTTACTTTAAAATAGGCGCATATTATTATTTTTATAATTAATTAATTAATATAGTTAGGGAATTTTATCAGCGTAGCACTTATTTGTTTTTAATTTCGATTTCATAGAGCTATCAAAATCGGCGACAAAGAAGTAGAATACAGTCCTAACTTCAAGTTGATCCTACACACCAAACTAGCAAATCCACATTATAAGCCAGAAATGCAAGCCCAAACCACGCTAGTGAACTTCACAGTCACGAGAGATGGACTTGAAGATCAATTACTAGCAGAAGTTGTAAAAGCTGAAAGACCAGACTTAGAAGAATTAAAAGCAGAATTGACAAAACAACAGAATGAGTTTAAAATACAACTAAAAAAACTCGAAGATGATCTTCTATCCAGACTTTCTTCGGCTGGTAGTAACATTTTGGGTGATACCGCTTTGATAGAGAATTTGGAAATTACAAAGAAAACTGCCGCTGATATAGAGAAAAAGGTTCGTCTCTTATATATTTTTGTAAGTCGTTCTAATATTCTTAAGACAAACAAATTTAAACATTTCTAATAATTCGTCCTAGAATAGAGTCCTTGTTAACAAAATTGTAATGTTTTGATTTGGTTTGATTTGGTCTCTGATAATATAATAAATTTGTAAACTGTCACAGTCAAAAAAACAAATATCTGGTCAAATTCTAATAACATAAAATGTCCCATATATGGTTTTTTTTCTTCTCTGTCAATCATTAGGATTGTTGTTGGAAGGTTGATGTGTTTTGAGGTCCTCGGAGCTATAATGATTGAAAATGAATGATTTTAATGTAAATTAACTAACTTATAAGTATTTTTTGTATTGCAGGTAGCAGAAGCTAAAATAACGTCCCACCAGATAGACCAAGCGCGCGAGTTCTACCGGCCGGCCGCCGCGAGAGCCTCGCTACTGTATTTTATACTCAACGACTTGAATACTATCAATCCTATTTATCAGTTTTCACTAAAGGTAATTTGGTTTTGTAGAATATATTTCCTTTTTTTTCAAGATATTTTTTTATGTGCCGTAGTGTAATTTTTACTAATATGTACATACGAGTATGTTAAATAGAGATTGCGAATAAGAAAATAATCTAAAAAATATTTTTTTTTGTAAAAAACGTTTTCTTCTAATTTTTTTAATGAAATTGAGATTTTCCTTGATTTTCACATAATTTTTGCGCCATGAATAATTTAATGTGTATAAATCCGTTTTTTACATTTTTTCTCAGGCCTTTAGTGTGGTATTCCAAAAAGCGATATCGAAAGCGGAACCTTGTGAAGAAGTCAGTCAGAGAATCAAGAATTTAATAGACTGCATCACGTACTCCGTATTCCAGTACACCTCGAGGGGCCTGTTCGAATGTGATAAACTTATATTCGCCTCGCAGATGACTTTCCAGGTTTGATGCTGGGTAGAAATATAACGATCATGGAAACAGTTTTTTTTTCACAATACACACATTACAGTTTTTAATGCTTCTTTGATATAGTGAGATGAGATACTTTACCTTTTATTTGATGTCCGTATTATATGTGTAACATACATATATGAATATACATCGTTCGTTCGTTACACATAAATTAATATTTTTTTGGTTAATTTGCAACATATTTATTTATATAAATATATAATTTAAATTTTGTGAATTTTCCAGATTCTTCTGATGAGCGAAGAAGTATCTTCTGCAGAATTAGATTTCTTCCTCAGGTTTCCAATTAAACCTCACGTGACAAGTCCCGTAGACTTTCTATCGAATCAGAGTTGGGGCGGTATTTGTTCTCTAGCGAGCAAAGACGAGTTTAGGAATTTAGATAGAGATATAGAGACATCGCCCAAGAGATGGAAGAAGATTGTTGAAATGGAATGCCCTGAACGAGAAAAGTTTCCTCAGGTATGTTAAAAATACTTGTGTGTTAGATATTTTTAGGGGACAAGTAAATAATATTTACAAATAAAATTATTTATTTATTTATGTAATACCCAATATTAAATGTAATTTAGATATATGTTTTTAAAAGAAGAGTTAGTTTAATTTAATCTTAAATGATATGATAATTTTTATAACGTTGAAGAGATAGGGAACTAAAAATGTATATATAATATATAAAAACGTGTGTACATAAGTAAGAAGTGATACTTCTTGTTCGTAACAGAACGAAAATAGCTAAAGATTTCATCCCGTATGTCACAACTTTGTTTGTAAAAGGAATGCAGCTAACTTCATCATGTCGCTTTCTGGCTGTCGGTGTGCAAGTGCATCGTAAAAATTTTACTCTCATGCTTTTTTCCAAACGTGCCAAAAGAAGTATAATTTCAAAAGTACTTTTAACTTTTTTAGGAATGGAAAAATAAAACAGCTTTACAACGGCTATGTATGCTTCGCGCTTTACGACCTGATAGAATGACGTATGCAGTAGCGTAAGTACATAATATTTAATTTATATGTGTATACATATATGTAGATAATTAATATTAATTGGTATTTTAATTTAGTATATAAATCTCTATACTAAAAGTAAAATCCATTTAGCCGATACAGTGTAAGGAAGTAATAAAATCACCCATGAACTCTCGTATTTATAATATTAGTGACATAATATGATTCACACTTGAATGGTATATTCCAGAACATATATTGAAGAGAAAATGGGCTCTAAATACGTTGAAAACAGAACAGTGGAGTTCAGTAAATCCTTCGAAGAAACCAGTCCGACGACTCCCATATTCTTTATATTGTCTCCTGGAGTGAACCCTTTGAAAGATGTAGAGGCTTTGGGTAAATCTATGGGTTTTACAGCCGATTGTGGAAATTTCCATAACGTGTCGTTGGGCCAGGGCCAGGAGGTGGTCGCTGAGCAGGCCATGGATGAGTCTCTGAAGAAAGGACATTGGGTTGTTTTACAGGTGTTTTTTTTTTCACATTCTATATATTGCGACTTTTTGGTCATTTTTTCAATCATGTGATTTTTAATTAATTTTATCGTTTCATTGGGTGACCCATTTTTGATGAGATATTGCACACTAAAAGAAAATAGCGAAAAAAATGAGTAATAGCGAAAAAAGTGTTTTATATACAGTTAGAGTATAAATATACTCTAAAATATGTTAGTTGTATAAATATGTTAGTTTAGATTATAGTCTGTTTTGGCGTTAAGAAGTAACAACACACAAACACACACAGACAAACAAACAAATTTTCGTATTCACAATACTAATCCGATTCCGATGTTTCCAGAACATCCACTTAGTGAAGAAATGGCTTCCGAGCCTAGAGAAGAAGATGGAGAGTTTCGCGGGCGGCTGCCACGAGGAGTTCCGGCTGTTCATGTCGGCGGAGCCGGCCGCCGTGCCCACCGCGCACATCATCCCGCAGGGCATACTCGAGTCCAGCATCAAAATTACCAATGAACCGCCCACTGGCATGCAGGTGAGGTGATTCTTAACTAAAGTGATTTATCAAATATAAATTAAGCATTCTGTTTTACAATTATATTACGATATATGAAATATAATTTCTCCTACGCCCTAAGGTTGCCTGGAAGAGATTTCTTATAAGGATAAGGCCGCCTCCTATGCATCTATCTATCTATCTACCCATTTACCTATCTAATCTATCTATCATCTATCTTTATTATTACTCTTAATTCAGTTTTATTTTGGGAGTGTTATGGGTAAGGGTTCAGAATTGGTGAAGATATTTCGTGACAAACACACGTAATTTGAAGTAAGTCTAAAAAAGTGGTTGCTTAAAAATATTATGATTCATATGTTTAGCATTTATGAAAATCCAAATAATCAAAAATAAATTCTAGAATTGCTAAAATTTGCATAATTTGGAAATCTAATAATCTTTGATGACATCTGACCTATTATAATAAAAACCAGACAGACTGCATATTAAGTTTCAAATACAATTATATTTAGTTTTTATATTTTTATAAAGCTTTTTGATTGTTCAAGGCAAATTTACATAAAGCCCTTGATAATTTCAACCAAGAAACACTAGAGATGTGCGGAAAAGAGGCGGAATTCAAAGCTATACTATTCGCACTTTGCTACTTCCATGCCGTCGTGGCTGAGCGCAGAAAGTTCGGCCCTCAGGGGTGGAACAAGATATATCCATTTAATGTTGGTAAGTACTTCAAGCTGTGACTTAATTTGTTTATGCCTTTTCCCTTACTGGTAGTTAAATACATATATACAGTTGCTAAAGTTAGCCTCGTTTCGTTATAAATAAAGCCACTGTCAATTTCAAAATTACTACAAAATTGTATCTATATGGAACCAATTTTTTTAAGCCTATTGTTAGTCTTCGACATTATATATACATATTATATTCCTTGTCACCTAGCCACATTAAAAGTCAAGTGCTCTAACAAAATAGATGAAGCGGACATATCATTTCTAAACGCTTTTTGTATAAATTTTAGTATTACACCTAAAATTCCAGGTGACCTAACAATAAGTGTGTTCGTCCTATACAACTATTTAGAGGCTAATTCTAAAGTGCCTTGGGAGGATTTAAGATACCTCTTCGGTGAAATCATGTACGGAGGACATATTACTGACGACTGGGATAGGCGACTGTGCAACGCGTACCTTGAGGAGTTGATGCAGCCTGATTTGGTAAGGAGTTTCTATTGTCTATACTAATGTTATAAGGAGGCAGAGTTTGTTTGTTTGAACGCGCTAATCTCAAAAACTACTAATCAGATTTGGAAAATTCTTTTAGCATTAGACAGCCCGTTTATTGAGAAAGGCTATATATTATCCCGAAAAAATATACGGTTACCGTGGGATAGATTTGTTTTTGTCTAGGGACAAACCCGAAGCGAAGCGAGGGTGAGTCGCTGGTATAATATATGTAATTAAATATTAAACAAAGGCACCATGTTTTTGGAATATCAAATAAATGAAGTCATATTTAAATTAGATAAAATTGGATATGTCAGAACGGTACGCGGGTATGAAGTTTTATAAAAAAAGGCATTATTTTATCTCCATTTAAAAATCTTGAAATATTATCCAACATGAGGAAATAGAGTGCGTTTAAACAAACTAAATAAAATAATTTTATTCCAGGTGGATGGGGAGCTACAATTAGCACCGGGATTCCCCGCACCACCTAACACAGACTATATAGGTTACCACCAGTACATAGAAGATGCGATGCCACAGGAATCTCCCTATCTATACGGTCTACATCCAAACGCTGAAATCGGCTTTCTAACGACTACATCGGAAAATTTGTTTAGGACCATATTTGAAATGCAGCCTCGAGATGCTCAGGCGTCTGGAGCTTCTACTGTTACCAGAGAAGATAAGGTAACATGAATTAATTATACCTACATGAGACTATGTTTTCGGATTTTTTGGCGGATTTATTTAGATTTTTGGTTCCTGTAGTTTCAATGGTTACAGCGATTATGATCACGAGAGAGTTTCTCCTAAGCATTCGTATCTTCGATCTGAATATATCCGCGAAAAAATCCGAAAATATAGTTTTATTTAAAATGACAAATTGTCGCGTAAATCTAAGAAAGTATTATGAATAAATTCCATCGTTATTTTGGATCACTGTGTTCAACCATACTGAGATTAATCACAGAAGACGTTTTAGTACAAGGCGTGTGAAGATGTGCGCAAACACATGTGCACTCTCTATTCCTTTCAGTCTCAAAATCCCATATAACGAGACGAGAGATCAGTCGCAGTAGAGTTATTGCTCATAATTAATTGCCCAAGAATATTTACTATATTGAGTACTTCTAAAAACGACAACTTACATTCAAATGAGTGCATGTTATGTTTGTAGGAATGTCCATAGTTAAAACATACATATTACATACAAAATTTCACTTCTATTCTCCGGAGTATGGGAAATAAAATTTAACTGAAATAATTATGATTTGAGATATATTTTAACTTAAGCATGTTTTATGACTTAGGTAAAGCAAATGTTAGACGAAGTAATGGAGAAATTACCCGAAGAATTCAACATGGTGGAAATAATGGGGAAGGTGGAAGAGAGGACTCCGTACGTGATAGTCGCCTTCCAAGAGTGCGAGCGCATGAACTATCTCACTGGAGAGATGAAACGGTCTTTGAGGGAATTGGATTTGGGACTTAAGGTATATAATATGCCATAGATAGGTTTAACAATAGTGGCATAGTGTTTAGAATTTAATTCGTAACTTTATTGTTAATATAAATGAGAATATGTTTGATAGTTTATTTTTTTATCCGGTAATCAATTGCGTTAGTTTTGGTGGACCTAAAAATGAAGGAGATACTTAAGTTCGATCTGTTTTTGTGTGGGTATGTTAAAAGAAATATTTTCGCTAATACGGAACCGAATTTTTTTTAAGTTAATTTCATTTTTTTAATGAATATGTAGGTATAGCTCAAGGATGGTGCAATATTTTGAAAAATAAGATTCCATCCCTAGGCGTGGATAACTATCCGTTCAAATAATTTTGAAGGTTTTTTTTTAAAGTATTTTAAAAAGTAACTGTAGAGATAGTTTATATAGGTCAGAGGATGATAATATTACTAACTTTTTTTTGCTATATAAATAGGTCCCAACAGGATGTACGTATGAAAATATTGGGAATTTTATTAAAGGTAGTTTAATTTTCCTAAAGGGAACATATTTTGAACGATTATAATATTTAATGTTGACTTTTCAATACATCTACATAGAAATTTATCTTATTTGTTGCAGGGTGAATTGACTATTACGTCTGATATGGAGGAATTAGAAAATGCTCTGTTTTTAGATCAGGTATCTTATTTTTGAAATACCAGAATCCCCGTGCTTGGCAATGGAATGTTATTAAGTGCTAAACTATAGTGTGTTTTATCAGGTACCAGCTATTTGGGCAAGCAGAGCGTATCCGTCTTTACTTGGACTCTCGGCCTGGTTTGTAGATTTACTTCTACGCCTGCGGGAGCTGGAGACTTGGGCTACGGATTTTGTGGTAAGTTATTATAATTTAACATTTTTCGTGTTTGGCATTTGGATAATGAATGATAAATACTGTCTCTCTGAGAATTGTGCGATTAGATTATTTTATAGGAATCAATACTAACTAGTCTTTCTCTTAATGATCTCGTAGTTGATATCTATACATATAATAAAATTGTAACTAAGCCGAATCTGTACATAAGATATTTTTTGGAAAATCTTAATGAAATAAATATTATGATCGATACAGAGTCCGAATCTAAAGTTTTTAGAATTTTTGTCTGTCTATCTGTTACCGCATCACAGAAAAACCACTGGAGGGATGTTAATGAAATTTAGTATGGTGATAGCTAGTTATCCGGGTCAACATATAAACTTAGGTTAAGTTTTAAAAGAGCTTTCCCAACGATCTTTGAAAAATTTTGGCTTTGAATTTAAAGAGAGCCGAATCATAATAAAATTTAATTCTATAGATTCAATATCAGCTTCCATACAACGTGGGTTTTAAAATCTGATAAAAAAGTTGTGTTTATAGACTACATACCCCACGAGCAAAGTCGTAGTCATTAATTAGTGGTCTTATAATGTTTTTTTTTACTTCACAGCTACCCACCTCAGTATGGTTGGGCGGATTCTTCAACCCGCAGAGCCTTTTAACCGCCATAATGCAAAGTACGGCACGTCGCTACGAACTGCCGTTAGACAAAATGTGTCTGCAGTGTGACGTCACCAAGAAGATGAAGGAGGATTTTACGTGAGATCTTTATCTGTTATTTATTATGTATATGCTGGGCTATTTCATTTTTATGGTTATATAAAGATGATCTAAGAAAATTTTCTATACAAAAATTTAACTTTTAAGTTTTTTAAAATCAATATATATACATTTTTGGATCTAACTTTTCTTTTACTAATTTTACATAAACGGCAATACATATAGCCACCAATTAGAATTTATGGGACCTAATACTTCTTGGTTCCTAAAGACAAACCCATAACCTAACTTAAATACAAGCACCACGTAACAGCATAGCGGACTCGCGGTCGGCGCCGCGCGACGGCGCGTACGTGCACGGGCTTCTGATGGAGGGCGCGCGCTGGGACGTGCACGCCGGCATCGTCATGGACTCGCGCCTCAAGGAGCTTTTCCCGCCCATGCCCGTCATCAACGTGCGGGTGAGTTCCTGCTGGTTACTGGTAATACCATAGTATTTACGTTTGTATTTTACAACAACACTGTAGTAGGCGTGGTACCTACGTTGTTGTCAGACCTTGTCAACCACTGCTTGTCACGGTCCTCCCTTCAATACGAGGGGGATCAGGCCATAGTCCGTCACGCTGGCCAAGTGCGGGTTGGCGGACTTCACATGTCTTTCGAAAACTTGCTAGGTTCTCTCAGACATGCAAGTTTCCTCATGATGTTTTCCTTCACCGTAAGACAAGTAGTGATCATGTTGAAAATTATTCGCACTTGAAAATATCAAAGGCGCGAGTTCTGGGAGGTTGAATCACTCGGCCTCCCAAGCGAGCGCGTTACCACTGGGCTACGACTGCCTACACTGTGGTACGTTAGGATTGTAGCAAATGTTTCCCTAGTTTGACGGCTAGTGGACTTTGGTAATACTAACAGATCAAGGAGATGAGCTTGCCGGCATCACATAATGGAGCTCTGCTTACCCATGCTCATCAGAAATGTAAGGGGAAAATAAGTGCTGTGTACTGGGTAAAATAAATGGCTGTGTGTGGGTAAAATCGATATAATAGGAGATAGTCTATTGATTTTAACGGAAATGCTGCAAAATGCAAGGGTTGTCAAAAATATTATTTTTGGCGAAAGGTTTCAAAATTAAAGTACTGTAATTGTGGCAAGGTACAGTTATACCCACCATCCCTAAAGTCGTTTACCGACTGCCATATAAAAATACGCATAACAGTCGGGAGCGCTTCACAAAAGTCTCCGTTCGAGGCAATTCCCCCGCGCGATTGTTCTGTTAGGTGCCTTCATTGGATGACTGTATAGATTAGTAGACTTTGGAAAATAAATCGCGCCATTTCCAATCGAACGTTGCCCATGCTGCTGATTGCTGCCACCCGCTCAGTAAATGTGTAGTAGATACAATGAATGAATTAATGAAATACGCAAAATATATTTTTATCATAACTTGTTTTATTCATGTTTGTGAAGTTAATAAACTTATTTCGCACAGGTCGTCGGTACGGATAAATTTAATTCGTGTTATTTATCGAATTCAAGCAAATTATATGTATATATTTAATATTAAATTATTCAGAATGTTAAAGATCTTAATTTTCTTGTGTACTTATAAAAGCGTGCATTCCAGGCAATCACCCAAGACAAGCAGGATCTGCGCAATATGTACGAATGTCCGGTCTACAAAACGAGAACACGCGGGCCCACTTACGTGTGGACGTTTAACCTTAAGACTAAGGATAAACCTTCCAAGTGGACCCTGGCTGGAGTCGCTCTATTGTTACAGGTTTAATTTATATTAATATAGTAAAATAAATTGTAATATATTGTAATGTATAAATTGTAAAAAAAATATTTAAAAGTTTTGATATATGAATGTTAAATGTTGAAGTGAAATTGTTTCTAATCTCTCGTAGGTTTTGATTCCAACCCCCCCAACGTGCGTTCACCTTGTCGTGGTGGGGGGGGGGCTCAGTAGTGCCCGGCAACCCAACCGGGCGCGAAGCCAAGAAACGCACAGGGAGGTGGCCCACTTCGGTGGGCGGTGGGAGGTGGCCCTCTTTGGAGGGCGGTGTACCATGCGGGTTGCTCCTGGTACTTCTCTGATAGCAGAGTGGACTGTGGAGCAACCCCGTGGTTGTTGTGGTCTGCTTCGGCAGACCTGCCGTCGGGGCGTCGTAGTTGAATGCGTAAGCGATCCTGCGACGCCCCATTAAGACGGGGGAAGGCTTTGTTGGGTTTTAGTGGGTAGTACTGGCTTTGCCGGTGAGTCCCACACGTCGTGCGTAAATGCATTTCCAAACGTTAAAAAAAAAAGTTTTGATTCCAAAGTCCATTTAAAGTAGCGTCCTAAATCAAAATAATTTAAAATAACTAAAAGACGCTTTTGACGATTTGTAATATACGGGACTCGTAAAATCATATCAGATGAAAATAGGAGGTTTTATTAGTAGCCTTTGAAGAGTTTTACTATCCACCTCCTGGATCTAATATAGGTATTAGGTACATATATACTGATCTGGCATCGAATTATTGTATTGTTATTGGGATTTCGCATAAAAACTAAGTTGCAAATCGAAACGATAATCAGAAATAGGCTAACTTCAAGATTTGATTAGATAGTCGGTTACAAGTGAATATTATAATAAAAAAATATTTTAAATAAGTATATGATAATGATTTGTTGTGCCACATAAAGCTTATTATATAAGTATGTTACTCGTATACCCACGCATTTATTTTTAATTTATTCTTAGTTTTATGGATTTTTTTTTAATTTATGTATTAGCGATAACGATTGTAGAATGTCAACTTTTAGGCCTCTTAGTTTTCTATTTTTAAGTTGCGGAAATTGATTTGGAGCTTTATTAGACTCGTGTCAAAGTCAAAAATAGTATCGTGATTTGCAGTTTATGCTACTATTTTCGATTTTACCATAAATATCGTTTACTTTCTTTGAAGAATAAGGGAATTTTTTTATATGTGCTAGTTATATTATAATACAGTGTTTGAGAATAAAATATGAACAGTACAAATAGCACTATATATTATATAATGTTCTTTTTAGTTTTCTTTTATTTGAAAGAGATAAAGCATAAAATTAGCTTTTTTCTTTTTTTTTTCTTTATTATAATAAAACTCGTTAGCTATTTTTATATAGTAACATTTATTTACATATTAATCAGTATACGTTTTTTTGTATACTATTAAGATAAAAGATTATTGTCACTTCATGTTTAGTTCTATGAAACTCTGTCTATCACCATATTACCTATTCCTTAGTCTGAGATTTTAGAGTAATTAATGTTAAAGTTGATTAAATATTTAATATACACAATTGTAAATATTATATTTGTAGCCAAATACTATTTTCTTTTATTAAAGGGCTTATATTCTGTTCTAAGACTTTTTCTATATGATTGTACCTACAACATATAATTATTGTTAATTTTATTCTAAATATCATGTTTTTGTATTCTTATTAATAGATTTTGTGACCTATGTAAGTTTTTTTTATATTATAATTTATAATCATTATAGGCTATTAGTTATTTTACGTGTAATTTATGATAATAAGTTTAAATTTGAATAAAAAACTTGTACATTTTCTAATTTTATATATTTAAATAAATTATATTATATTCATAAATGAGTTCTTTGAATTAATTAATAATAGTGTGTTTTGTATTATCTTACGGAGACTTTATTTCTGGACAGGACTTTCTAAATAAAAGTCATATAAATGTTACGAATTCACCTACTAATACTATGAATGCGTGTGTTTTTTTGTTTATCCTACTTTCTTAAAGCTCTCATAAGGTTATTATATGGGTCCAACAGTGATAATACTTCTATTTCTTGTACAAGAAGGATATTTATGTGATTATATAATAACTGTTTCACTCCATCTGCAACAGCTAAATTCAAATCGTACTCGTTCTCATCATCATTTTTCTCGTTACGCCAGCGCCATCTACTATCAGCATACAACTGGACACTTTTTCAACTTCCCCCCAAATAAGACCAAGACGGTTCTCCTTACCTCTACCCTTCATAAAAAAAATAAAAAAGCTCTTCAGCTTTATTATACAGATAATATATTGTACAGATTATATAGCTAGTCATATACATATACTAGTCAGATCTTTTTGTTTATTTAATTTAGTTGTTAGTAAAAAAATATAAAAATGATATAAAAGAGAAGTTTTGTTATCTTATTATATAATATGTACATAAATAGTTTTTTTGTATATATAGAGGAAATCATAAGGCTATCAAGGTTTACGTCACTTAATCTTTGGTCGATGTTATCATAAAGTATAATGTATCAGTATCTAATTAATTTATTGTGATGTTAAAAATATGAATGATTCATTCCACTATGTCATCATTTTATTAGGATTATAAATATATGATATATATGATTAATTAGAGGTAGTACGAGGAAATATTTAAATAGAAAGACATTTTTTAATATTGAAATTTTTGTAAAATATATTTGTGGCAGTCATCTAGGTGTTGCGAGCCCTTAGTAACCTCTTAAAAGCCTTATCCACGGATACATATGTATAAATGTAAAAAATCTTCAAAAGTTAAGTCGCTAAATCCAATGGCTAATGAAAATTAAGATTCAAAGTATCGATTTAAATGTAAAGACAACACATTACGGCTTATTTGTCTAATGAAAGTGAATATTTTACTCTCAACAAACGAACTTGTTAATGCTCAATTAATGCCTTTACTTTCTTCGTGGGCGTCGTATTTGCATCGTCACCGTCGTGTTAGACGCGGGCGGTATTGATACGTCTCCCACTAAAGCGATTAAAGGCTAATTAGATAATGAGATGCAGTTCCAGATAACCTTCTGATTGATTAGATATAGGATAAGAGACAGTAGTTAGTTTTGGATTGAAAAAGAGTTTTACTTATATATTTTAGACCAAATGCGATTTCCCGCTACTTTATTTGCAATCTACAGTGCTTTTGTATAAGTAATAAATGTTTGTAATAAAGATTTGTATAAATATAAAATACGAAGGTTTCTTTGTATGTCTGTACTCTATGCGTGCCTATTCATCCGATTGTGATGAAACTTTGGTGAGTTGTTCTGTGAAGGTTTTTGGACCAAAAAAAGCTCCTATCTTGGTTCTTGGGGTCAGGCCATAGTCCACCACGGCGGACTTCACATGTCTTTCGAAAACTTGCTAGTTTCTCCAGACGTGCAGGTTTCCTCATGATGTTTTCCTTCACCGTAAGGCGAGTGGTAATCGTATTAGGAATGATTCTCACATGAAAATATTAGAGGTGCGAGACCCGGGATTTGAACCTGCTTCACTCGGTTTCCCAAGCGAGCGCGTTACCATTGGGCTACCACTACCGGTAGGTACCGACCTGCCTGATGTTTTATAGAATGTATAAAATAAAATTAATAAAAAAGAGAACATTATGCTCTAATAAATAGCTAATAATATAACATTTATGCGGTGGCGTAACAAATGCTCGCGAGCAGAATTTGTAATGTCCACACCGACGTGAGACGTCGCGTGGATCCCTTGAGCTATGATATACTTTCTTAAATAACTTAGACGCTGAAGTATGAATATTAATATTATATTAGAGCATAACATTATATAATTATAAATTTATTTATGACTGAATATCTGATCGAAGGTAGTTGTGGGCAACGATGAGGACTAATTCAATCCAATCAAAGACTGATAGTAATAGTCCTATAAATATAAAACACTAGCGACTCACCCTCGCTTCGTTCGGGTTCATCTCTAGCTTGCTTCCGAATGCAAACTTTAATCCCCATTTCCCCATTAAGGGATGATTTCCGGGATAAAAAGTTTTCTTTGTCCTTTCCAGGGTCTCAAACTCACAAACTTTACCTGTTTATTATATTAGTATGGACAACTGTTTAGACTTTAGACTTCTCTCTTATATTATGTAAGACGTTGTTTTAACATCAATCTTAAGAATGGCTTCCTTAAACTACAAGCATGATGTATAATTAACAACTAAGCCTATTATAAGAAAATCATCATTTGAATGACGTTATTGGGTATTATAACCTCTGATTTGAATAATAACATGGTTTTATTTATAAATATAATAAAACTGTAGAGGTCGAATGTCTGTACATAGAAAAAAATGCTATAACCGAGTCAGAGGGATGTAAGAAGAGAAATAGAAAAAAACGAGATTTTTTTTCAATTTTTTTGTTTCTCTGTGTGTTGTCTGTTTGTCCGCGCTAATTTTCGAAACTGTTGGACCGATTTAAATGAAATTTTGCACCTGGTGGTGGTGGTGGTACCTTATATCCTCGGTCAACATTTTAGATAGATAGACTTTTCAACTCGGAAAATTAAAGAGTTCCCGTGGGATAGTTAAAAAACTATACTAACTTATACAGCTTAGTACACAACAACTTATGTATCTAATTTAATAACATTTAAAAATACTGATAAGCAACAGGTTACCTTTTATCCCAGAAAAATGAACGATTCCCGTGGGATAGATCTGTTTGTGCTTTTTTAGAGGATAACGCGAGCGAAGCGAGGGTGGGCCGCTAGTTGTTACATACCTTATATCAATGCACGGTACATATGATTTTTGGAGTTTACAAATAAAAGATAGTTAAATTTGCACGTTCTACATTTTTGGTTCCATTCATTACACCTAATTATATTTTATCATACGACGTAGTCAAAAAGAAGGCGAAGTAATTACTCATCTGTTTTTTTAATATATCCCTGACGTCTGTCAATCTTAATTTTCATATTTAAA